GTCGCATTAACGGGGTTCCACTGTATGTCTGGGGTACAATGTATTCAATAAAAGGTCCAGTTGCCTTCAAAAGACTGATTGTTACACGGCATGTCTGAAAACCAGTTTGCTGAGCCATTCACCGTGTTTAAATAAAGTTGATTGAATTGGATCGAGCGAACAAAGTACAGGCGAACGTAACAACGAAGGCGACAACAACTAGGACGTCTAAAAAGCAATATGTTGACAATAAGTAAAACAACAATTTTTTACGTACAGCAATCTTTTTTGTACATTTCTTTACCGTCGCTGCACGACTAGAACGTAAAATTCCCAGACCAGACGTCTTATGGAGAACGTAAACACAATTCACACAGTCCATCCTGCACTTGGGCTTGGTCCCCAAACTTAAGTTCCAAGGAAATGAAACCTATACAGTTTGAAGTTTTAAGCGAGTTGAAATAACCGTGACAAAGGCATTTTTGCTAACGTCGCCCTCGTTGTTGCTCATAAGTTTCCTACCATCACTGAACACAAGCGAAAAAAGAAAAAGCTTACCTTTAAGGTTTTTGATGTCCTTTGACGTACAAGTGCAATGTAAGAGCTTCAAGAGAATTTCTGGGTCTAAAGGTGGGTTTCCACTGTCGCTGGTTTTAATGTCGGCTGTTTTCTCAGGCTATTAATGCAATTATATTAAAATTGATTTGGAGAAACATAAACATTGTTAATACTAATGAGACAGCTTCTGACGATTCCGTGACTTCATGACGCCATTATCAAGGAATTGGAAATAAATAACTCGCATTTATTTATTTCCAATTCCTTCCAAACGTCGGAACGTTATCTCGTTCGTTATGGCCCCTATTTAATTTTACTTACGTAAAATTCTGTGTGTTACGCACGAAAACGTTACTGGACAGGAGAAGCACCCTGGATCCTTGTCTAAACAACAGTGAATTGAAATTTGTACAGCTGATTACTGTCTTTAAACCTTTAGCCAAAATATTGTTATGCAAATGTTAAACGTTCATTTCATTGACTAAAGGATTATTAATTTTTTTTTTTTTGATATACCTTTGGAGTTTGTCTGACAGGAAAGGACAGTGTCAGTATTAAAAACTCAAAGCGAGGCATAAAAAAGATACAATTCCCAGTTTTATTTTTGACGCTAAAGAAAGCCGTGGAAATGGAGGCACTGAGTACTTCAATTTCAACCTTGCTCCCAGGGTCTTCTCGTTTTCCAATATTTAACAATTATTCCTCAAGCCCGAATGGGCTTTGAGTCAATCGCCCATGAAGCCGAAGGACGAATGGGCTATTGACTCAGAGGCCATGAGGGCCTAGGAGTATCTCAACCAATCAGAACGAAGCATTGATAATAGACAACTAGTTGGATTTTACCAATAATGCTAATTACCTTGAAAAACTCAGCCAAGCATAAAAAAGTTAAAGCAAAGATTTGCCGTTTTTATGCCACACTTCTAGTATAAAAACGTTTTCAGTAAGTAATTGCGTCGTTAAACGGGACGATTCGCAACGACGACTTTTAGCGTAGCACAGCGTTGCAATGTTGCAACTATGTTATAAATCATCGTGTAACATCGGACACTCAAACCGGGACACTTGGAAGAAGATTGTCCAATCATGACGTTTTCTGAAAACAGAAGATTCTCAAGTTTTTTCATAAAGGGACCAATAACATTCATAAATTTGACGGTTGTTTCTTAAAAGGTCGGGTAAGTTTAAACGGTTTAAAGTTTCATTTTTTTTATTGGTCCGTGGGCAAATCTTTTGTTTTCAGAAAACGTTGTGATTGGACATTCTTCTTCCAAGTGTCACCCCGGTTTCAGTGTCCACAGTGTAACATCTCAGACGTAAAATGTGTCTGGTATTAAAAGGGAACGATCTAACTAGGACGCATTAATGCCCATCTCGTCCAGAGACGAATGAGACAATTATTTTTGTTTTCAGAAAAATAGTTTTCTCTCCATGAGGTTGTCGACAATTCTTTGCGTCCCGTTTTTACACCAGACAACTTAATGTCTCAGACGTTACACGCGTCTAGACGATTTTAAAAAACGGTCATTTGTCACTTACCTTACGTCGTTCAAATAAGATTGCATTATCAAAAGGCGACAAAAAACACAGGTCGATGCAGGTTGAAAAATCCACCAGCGCAAACTAGGAATGAAATTGACAGTAAACAAAACCGAAATCTCAAATATTTCGTATTCATGGATTTCGCGTTTAACTTATTATTAATTATACCTAAAGTAGACTTAAATGTACATCGCCACACATACTCCCTTCCGCCTCGAAACACGTCGACTCCGAGTGGTCAAGTTCTCAAAGAAATGTTTATATACGAAAGAGAAAAAATATACATTCTTTAAGTAGAAGAAAAGCTTTTTTGTTTTACCGTTCTCTTTTTTTAATTAATTGCTTGAAGTCGCCTTTTTGAACTAGCGACTTATAATGTTTGTATTATTTAGATAAACGCTAGAACGAAAAATCACACACTGCAGTTCAAGAGCCAAACAGTGCTATAATTTCAGGCTTGGCTGAGCTTTCCAGAGTTTCCTAATCTGTCTATTCATCTCACTAATTTACTATTCTACCTGCTCTGGGGAACCAGCGCACTGACGCCCCCTAGATTATCACATACGTTCTGGTCACGTCCTATGGCTATATAGTTCTCATTAGTATCTGTTGTGTGAAACTAGCACACTTTTAAGGTACCAGTTAGTCGTGGAAAAATATAGGAAAAAGCTTTAGTTCCGAGGCCTTCTCAAAAATAACGACCGAGCGTGTAGCCGAAAGTCATTAATTTTCTTTTCGAGGTCGTTTTCGGATTTAATGCACCTTTCCATTACTTTAGAACCAGCAGATCGTTATTATGGTCACTGAAGTGGGAAAAAAGCTCATTAATAAAAATATTGATCCCTCCATTGTTCCTATATTGACCGGCTATTCCATTTATTGAAACTGTGATAACCTGTTCAAAACAATGGCTAGCTGCATGACCTAATCGTCGCATTATGTAATAAGCATCCAGGATAAATCCCTGAAGATGGTTTTCTTTGCCAGATAAACGTTGTGTTCTCGCTGTATTGAGATCCTGATTGCCCCACAGAGAGTTGTACCCAGCTGCCAATAGTAGTCAGTTAATCCCTTGCCGAAGAACTTCAACACGGGTGAGAGTTTTTAATCACACCATTTTTTGAAAAAACGTTAAAAAATTTTCATTTTTAAGAGTTCTCATAACAGCATATTAATACGGAACACAGTGAAAATATGTCAACAAACAAACAAGTAGGTGATGAAGACAAGACGTTTTCTAAACTTAGATACGCTCCTTAAGAATTTAACTCTGCAAAAATTTGCCGACATATGACAACTTGAACTAAATGGAATAGTCGTAATCAAGTTTGAAAAGGCGTGAATTCACTCATTTAGGACGATTCTGGTTAAAAGCCTTTTTTCCCTTTATTTCTTAGTGCCCTTTCTCTACCAAAATCTAGCCTAGATCTCAACCAGTTTTCTTTCAAAAACAAAACTGGCTCAATATAGTCGGAGCTATCGTATCAATAAATGTTTGAGAATGTTGAACAATTTTGCGAATGTTTTTAATGAATAAATATGCGAGGGTGAGGTTTAAAATTATAGAAAAATCGAAACTGTTGTATCTGGAGGTTGCTGAAAATTAAAATATGAAAGAAATAATTAGTAGACAAATACCAGATAGTTCACCACCGCCAAAACAAGATGCCCCTGAACTCATTAGCGGATCTGTATAATTCTTCTTATTAAAAACTGAATCATTGGAAAATGCATTTCTAGAGCTCTGGTGCCCTTAGACGTATTAGGCCCCTTATCTCCCAATCTACTGCGGTACTAGTCTATAACTCCTTAATTCAACCTCACTTTGATTACTGTAGCCTTGTTTGGGATGGCTTAAGTGATCAACTGAGTGACAAATTACAAAAGTTACAGAACCGTGCGGCTAGAGTAATTTTAAAGGCCAACTATGGGACTAGCTCGAGCCTGCTTCTTGATATACTCAAATGGGACAAATTAGTTATAAGGAGAAAGAAGCATAAAGCAATAATGATGTTTAAATCTCTAAATGCACAAGCTCCAGTGTACTTGCAGAACCTATTTCACGAACGAAGCACAGACTATGATTTGCGCAATTCCTTTCATAAATTGACGTTGCCCAGGCCGCGTACTAACGACTTGAAACGAAGTTTCAGTTACAGCGGTGCTTTGTTGTGGAACTCTTTACCCGAAAATGTGAGAGAAACTAAATCAGTCAGGAAATTTAAAGAGCAAATCAAACATGTATTTGAGTCGTCGGACTCTCACTCGGCAGTCTTGTAAAACAGTATGTCGATAGTTTTTAGTCTAATTAATTGTGATTAGATTTTTACTCTATTATTACTGAAGATTTTACCGAGTTTTAAATAAATAATCTACCTACCTACCTACCTACCTATCTGATTGGCTTAGCCATCATGGTATATGAGCCATTTATGCCATGCTCTCCAAATATGGTAACCGTACGCGACTGCTCAAAATTTAAAACAAGCTGAAAATCGGTTGTTTTTACAAATAAAGTCGGGAAGAATTCTTCATACTTTGTGGGCGTTTTTAATAAAACAATTATTCCACTCGCGCTTGATGGATATGAGATGATTGTAGCCAGCTACGCGCCTCGTTGGCCTGCTACCATCTCATAGTCATCTCGGAGGGTGTTATCTCCCTCGGCCGATAACACCCTCCTCAATATGCAGAATTCTTCATATCCCACTCAGCCCCATTCAGTATGAATTGCTAAATATTATACAAAAGCCGAAACGAATAATTACTCAGGATTAGCGCTTGATTATTTGATGATGATAACGACTGTAATGACAATGATTCAACAGATTTCCCAACCATGCCTTAACAATATATCGGCCAAGAATTGCCACAGTAACTAGGAAACGATCGTCCCAAGTAACAGCAAACTGAACGTAATAATGCAATTGAAAATTGCTTTTATTCTCGTTCTATGCGCGGTAATCATACCGTTTCACTGCTCTGCTGCTGTCGTTCGAGCGGAAGAGACGAAAGCTTTGGCGTTTCTGAAAAAATACAACAAGGAGGCTCCCATTGAGAAAAGAACGTTTATGGAGCTTGCATGGAATTACGCCACAAACATCACAGATCACGATAGCAACTTGAAGACAACCGGAAGCCTCGCTATCACAGCATTTCAAAATAAGATGCGAGAGACAGCGTCAAAGTTGGACGTGAGCAAATTTTCCGCCGACACCAAGAGGCAGATCAAGTTTATCACTTCTTCAGCGATACCCAAAGATAAAGCCGTGCTGCGAAGAATGACCGAGCTCATATCAAACATGGAAGGTATCTACAGCACAGGCAAAGTTGAAGATAATGACGGCACTGAGCTTGCACTGGAGCCAGACTTGTTGAACATAATGGCAACAACACGCGACTATGATAGACTTCAGTTTGCATGGAAAGGCTGGCGGGATGCGGTTGGCCCGAAACTGCGATCTCTCTACAAGGAATTTGTGAAACTGAAAAACCAAGGCGCCAGAGAAAATGGCTGGAAAGACATTGGCGAGTACTGGCGATCGTTTTACGAAGTTGAAGACTTTAAGGGCATGGTTGAAGGCTTTTGGACCAAATTAAAGCCTCTTTTTCAAGAGCTCCACGCCTATGTGAGATATAGGCTCAGCCAGAAGTACAGCAAGATGAAAAAGAAAGGTCCAATCCCAGCGCACCTGTTAGGGGACATGTGGGCGATGAAGTGGGAAAACATTTACGATCTGGTCGAACCATACTAAGGTAAGCCCAGCCTAGATGTTACAGCTAACATGGTAAAGCAAAACTATACTGCGCTGAAAATGGTGCAACTCGCCGAGTCGTTTTTCACGTCAATTGGTCTGGAAGCATTTCCCAAGTCATTCTACAACAAGTCTTTGTTTACCAAGCCTGAGGACGGTAGGGCGGTGGTTTGTCACGCATCAGCTTGGGATTTCCTCATAAACAAGGACGTCAGGTAAGATTAGTGCTTGGTTTATTTCCCGGGGGAATCCCATATCACAGTGATGGGGTGATTATCGTCTCGCTTAGGGGTATATAGTACATTGCAGATTTTAGCCTCACTTATGGTGTTCTGGATTAAAAGCCTTTGCGTAAGGAAGTATCCATATAAAAAGAGAAAACGCCGTCATACAGTCAACTCTCGCTAAGACGGACAGCTTTAGGACCGGCATTAAGAGTTCGTCTAAGAATAATGTGCGTCTAATAGAGTCAAATAAAGGGGCGAGTAAAGAAAGGCACGAACCAACTCTAGGGGCGCGATCCATTCAACCAAAATTCCAACCGGGCCGACCGGGAAAAGAGGACCACCTCAAAAGGTGGACCCGTTTTTACGAAACTTTTCCGGTTGGACCGAACCGATCCATTGAGTTTTGGACCGAAATTTCCGGAAAGTTTGGTTGAATAGATCGCGCCCTGGGTGTCCGTTTTACCGAGGTGTCCGTCTTTTAAGTCAAATCCCGTTAACCCTTTAAGCCCTGAGAGTGATCAGCATCAAATTGCTCCTTTTAATGTCAATGCTTTGCAAAACAGAGCCGGTCATGAGAATTACGGACATGATCATACAAGATGAATTTGCTTGATATTTTGTCAATTTCTCCTCACTACTTCTGTAGGAAATGAATAGGGGCAACAAATGGGAATTCAAATTTTGATCTTAGGGTATAAAGGGTTAATATGAACAATGAGAGGACAATAGAGAGTGCCCGTAACAATGAGGTGTCCGCGAAACGGAGTTTGACTGTATGATCTGTAAAGGTGTCAGTTAGGAGAGAGTCGACTGTACTTTGTCGGATAGGGGTCAAATTAAGCCTGAGTCACACCCAGATTGGCGTTCTTTAGGTGTTAACTAAATTCTAATTTCCCGACAAATAGCTCAGTCAGTCACTTTAATATTGAGTCCACACCCCCGGGGATTCATCACACTGCCTGTTTAAATTTTTAGGTTTACATTTGAGCTAATTAGAAACTCCAAAATTTTTCTTTAAATAAACGGAAAGATCCAATCACTGAGGTTTTCTAATTATAAAACGGTCATCGATATACGGTTTACGATGGACAACGGTGTTGTTTTCCGCGAGGTGACATAGTCGGTCATATGCCCTGGCCAAAAAGGACAATTTTTTGCAGACTTGTTGGGTTAAAAATGAGTGAAAAACTGCATACATTGATCAACGATTTGCAACTACTTAAAAGTTTAATGAGGTTTAGAGCGATTACGGCTACGACACGGTCTTTTCAGAATCAAGCAATGCACCACTATCGATCATAGCTACTTGATAGTCACTCACCACGAGTTGGGCCACGTTCAGTATTTCCTACAGTACTGGGACTTACCATTCGAGTACCGCGGTGGCGCCAACCCAGGATTCCATGAAGCCGTAGGGGATACCCTGTCACTTTCAGTCGACACTCCACAGCACTTGACAAAAATTGGTTTGTTAGAGGAGTACAGCGATGATAAAGGTATAGAATACACTAGACTATGAGTACTCCCCATTTTTCCTCAGGGATAGTAGAGCGAGCGAAACGCGAACGCGCGTGAAAATCACCTCACGCGAGAAAGGCGAGACCGCCGCGTCTCGCCTTTCTTGCGTGGGGCGATTTTCACCGGCGCTCGCGTTTCGCTCGCTCTACTATCCCTGAGGAAAAATGGGGACTACTCGTCTCACCGCCGCGTCTCGCCTTTCTCGCGTGGGGTGATTTTCATGCGCGTTCGTGTTTCGCTCGCTCTACTATCCCTGAGGAAAAATGGGGACTACTCGTAGTCTAAGGGCGCTTTCCATTTGCCAGAACTGACCGGCCAGACCATTCCCGTCGTAATGAGAATTTCACTTCTAATCAAAACTATCCAACCAGATCAGTCAAATCCTAAATAGTATGCACGAAGGAGATGGTTTTTCAGCAAAACCCTTTGGAAAAAGCCCATTTCATTTGCTAATTTACTTGTCCGGCCGGCCAGTTCTGAAAAATGGAAAGCGCCCTATGAATACACTGCATTTAATTCATTATCACGCACCTTGTAAGGGAATCCGGATTCCAGAATCGGGGAAATTCTTGCTTGTGGATTCCGGAATCAGGGAACATTTTGGTTGCAGAATCCGAAATCCTGGGGTTTGGAATCCAAAAACATCCCACTAACGATTGGAATCCAGAATCCAAGTTCCGTTGGAAGTTGAAATCCAGTACCTTGAACCCAGAATCCACAGTGTGAAAGTCAGAATCCAAGACTGTCTTGGATTTCCTTACAAGGGGCGAATTATCCCCCAAATCAATCTCTTGCTTTCTCTCTCTCTGAGCCGGTAAAATGCTAACCATTTACATGTAATACAGGCGAAGACACTGAGAAATATTACACAAAGACCTAGCAAACTGTGATCACACGAGATCGCGACCACCAGGAGCCCATAACCTTCTCCTGTGACTACTTAAAAGAAGTGACAGTTTAATACTGGTTTTGACTCTATGTCTCTAGAATCCGATATAAACGCCTTAATGAAGATGGCACTGATGAAGGTGGCGTTCCTGCCGTACGGTTTCCTGATCGACCAGTGGCGTTGGAAGGTTTTTAGTGGAGCTATTACTGAAGAAAACTACAACACCGAGTGGTGGAAGCTGAGGACTAAGTACCAGGGAGTCAAGCCTCCAGTGGATCGCTCAGAAGATGATTTTGATCCCGGATGCAAGTATCACATTCCAGCAAACTATCCCTACATCAGGTACGTAATCTATACCTTTCACAGACCTCTGCCACGATGTTTTACGTTCGGTCTTTCACTTTGCAACCTCAAAAAGTGGCAAATGTTTCCATCTCCAAGTCTCAGAGACGTTCCTGATGAGTCCCTGAATTTATCCTTTTTGTGTGTTTCCCTCCTTGATTTTTGCCTTTTAATCCACATAGACTTCGAATTTTTAAACAACGGTCTTGGCCACTCAAGTGTTGACCAGCTCAGTAGGCACGTGAAAAGCGTCGCCATTCTTATCTATGCCGTGAATTTCGTCTCATGCGCTTGGTGCGAAGGCTAAACGTGTCTCGGATTTTACCATTCGTAATCCCTGAATTAATTGAAGAAAACTTCAAAAATAGTAATCGGGCAAAATGGAAAACAAGTGGATGCGTGATAACGGAGCAGTTACCACGGTCCCAGTTTAAAGATCGAACTTTGGATTTATAGGTGAGACTTCCTTGCCGTCTCATTGTCCCCTTAGACAAGAAACTTAGCTCCACTATGTCTCGCGTACCCTGGAAACGAGGTTGACGCTATTTCCAACGGCGGGATAATAGGTTTAGCCAGGTGAATAAATGGGCAACGGGGACATAATACTGGGAATTGCGGAATAATTAACCGTACCATAGACAGTGCCATCTAATTCTTGGGGATTAGCAATACTCCAAGGTGCTTTATTCTAAGGTTAAGCCCCGGCCTTGGGGACCACACCATCGAGAAATTTTAACGAGGTCTCCCAGGAATATGAATTTTAGCATCGAAAATGTTGAATGGAAGCGAAATGCTGATTAGTGGAGATTTAATTTGGCAATGACATTGCATCAATCATCTGGCCTGTCACGAAGGAGATCGAGACACCAGGCCTTGCAGCTTCTTTTAAAACGAAAGGTAAACATAAACGACTCATGTCTTTTATCTTTCAGATATTTCATGAGCTTCATTCTACAGTTCCAGTTCCACAAGGCCGCTTGCAAAGAGGCAGGTCACAAAGGACCCCTTCATACCTGTTCCATCTACAAATCCACGAAAGCAGGAAAAAAGATTGGGTAATGTTGTCAATAAGTTCACGGGGCTCGTACAGATTTTTGGATAAAAAATTTCAACAATTTTTCCAGGCTTTTCTCGAGTCAATTATTTCTTTTTCCAGACTCAAGGCTAGTAAATAAGTGATCAATCGAGGAAAATGATGGCCGAGAAGATTAACACCCTCAAATAATGTTTTTAAAATATTGATTGGTACGCTACTATCAATGGTCTACTCATGCGCAATAACAAAAAAAAGTTGCTTGTGTCAGGCAACACTTTGCACATGCGCATTGAGATCCCTATTTTCAAGGACAGGATGACTGCTCCATTTCTCCGAAATAATGAACTAGATAAGTACTCCGCGATTAAATGATAAAGCAATAATAGAACTCGAAACGCAAAATATGGTGCATTCTCAAAAGCTAGTACACTTCTAAAAAAACGACAAATAAGCACGTGAGGCTTCAGAGATCTGGGCTGTGACGCGTCATCAGTATTGAATTTCTGTGCTCGTTTCTCAGACATCATGCCACGGGGACACCTGTGGTGGCGTCACGAAACGTCGGCTGTTTTCTCAGGCTTCGCGAGGCAAGACACAAAAGCTGACCGAGCGGTTTTGACACTTTCAGAATGATTAATTGTAACTAGACAGTTTGCGCCAAACAAAGTGAAATTTTTTTAAAAAAGAAGGACCAATAGGCAGGGAGACAAGATGAATTGAAAAAATCGTGAAATGAATCATATTTTGAACTGCGGATATAGATATGAAAGTGAACATGATCCTCGCAGTTGAATGAACAATCTAAACGGTTGAAAAAGAGCCTGAAAAAAAAAAAAACTTGAGACCTGACCGGGAATCGCAACCTGATCGACGCAACGCTCAATCCATTGAGCTAATCAATCCAACTGGAGAGCAGGCCATTGTGAGTTCGTAAATTACCCGATGGTGGAAATTGCACGAATGGAAATACAGTCGAACCCCTCCACAACGGCCACCTTAGGGGGAGAAGAAAGTGGCCGTTGTAGAGAGGTGGCTGTTATGGGGAGGTAGGGGGGTAACAGGACAATTTTTGGAGTATAACATTCTTACTGTGCTAAGTTCATGTCTACTGTATCCCATAATGGTAATCCAATCATTATTTATAATAGAGATAAAATTTACAAAAATTTAAATGTACATAATTTTTTTGAGGTTCGGAACATTATAACTATAAGCATTGTAGACAATTCATGATTACTGCAGCCGTATAAATGGAACACAATCAAAATACGATTGCCGCAATTAATCATCAATGTGTCATACGGATCAAATTTCATGACCATTCTTGACTTTTTCATGAACTGCGAAAAAAAAAAACTGGCCGTTGTCGAGGTTATTTTGGCAGTTGGGGACAAGCTTTAATGACCGTTGCCGTTGTAGAGAGGTTTAAACGAGAGAGGAGATGTAAGGGCTGTCTGTCCGGACAGAAAAAGCGGCCGTTGTAGAGAGGTGGCCGTTAGCGGAGGTTAGACTGTACACGAAATGAATTTTAATTTGAACTGCAAGATTTTAATTTGAGTTAGCTGGTCAAATTCACGACTTATCTGGGCGTATGGGCGGCTAGTTGACTGTGTCTTAAGGGTGAATTGGTTGATGTACTCTTTCGCATATCCGTTTACTTTCGATCTCTTTTAACAGTGATATGTTGAAGATGGGAAGAAGCAAACCTTGGCCACAAGCCCTCGAGAAACTTACCGGAAGTCAGGACGTTGATGTTGGGGCGCTTACTGAATATTTCCAGCCGCTACGTGATTGGTTGGTAAAGCAACGAAAGAAAATCGGCTACGCAGCCCCAGGATGGGACGAAGACGAGTAGGAACTACCTTCTGGAGCTCCTGGTCTTGTCCAAGACTTGTTTTAACATGTTAGCCTTGCTATTGGGATTTTGTCAAGTAGAAAGAAAACGTCAAAGAATAAAATATTCTTAGTACTTGAACTCTTGAGTGCACTATAAGAATACATAAGAGGAATGCTCGGATAAAATCTGAATCTCAAGTAAGTATGAACCTTAAACAAGACAGATTTTTTTTAGCCCTGCGAGGAGTCTAAGGGGCCACTAGCAAGTTGCCCCCTTGATAAGGGCAAAATTTCGCAAATGCTGCCGCGACATCGTTACGTTACTATAGCACAACCCATGACAGAAGACTATTAAACTTTAGCCGCGCATATAGCAAAAGGTGAAAGAGGTGACCCATAACTGGACCGAATTTTCTTTCGCAAAGACTTCTGGGACTGTTACTAGGGCCAGGAAAAAAAGTGGCCAACAGCTGTACTGCGCGTCCCCCAGTCACGATCCCACAAACAATTGCGGGACGCATTTCGGCTTCAGGCCCCTTCTCGTTTCTAGGGTGGCGAGTTGCGCTGAAAACAACGGTCTTAAGTTAATTCGATATAACTGCATATATTCAAGCAACGAAGCACACCTTCGGGTGATTTTAGCTTTTCGAGTGTTGTCGCATTTCCCCAGGTGGTTACTAACAGAAAATAGCGTCTATTGATTTTATAAGATAAGCTTCAGTAAAACATAGTTTTTCCGGGCAAAAATGTGGTTTAAAATGCCGTGATCAAGTTACGCCTTCTCTTTGCATGCATCAACTTTCGCACACACACACAAAAAATTTAGAAAGTTCTCTTCTCGTTTGATCCGCGCGGGGCTTTCGAGCGGGCACCAGGAGGCTCCTGGGACGACAACGGTTACCAGCAATTAGAACAAATAAAGTCGCTCAAAAAAGATAATAAACAAAACCAACGCAACTTTATTATATTTACATTTTTGCGTCGAGTAGAGCTTATTAAAAGAGGCTATGTCACGAAAATATTACTGTTTTAGGTCAATTGTCTGCTTGAAGCATTACTTAATGCCTTTAACCACACAAAAAATGGACCTGTAGAGCTAAGTAGAGGATATCCAAAGAGTTCCGTCAGAGAGCACTAGCCATGATAATATGGCGGAGGGGATTTTTAAAGGCAGTTTTTTCAAGTAATATATCAAGCACGAGACGCAGTGTGTCTTTCCCAGATGAAAGACTCCGCGCAGCGGAGTACTTTTGACGAACTTAGAGGTGTTTTATCTGGTAATGAAACACTCTGTCGAATGCTTGATATTACTTCTAAAACAAAATGATTTTAGAAGGAGAAACTAAAGATGCAAAATGAGATGTTTTTCATCTGATTTCCAAACACTCAATAACCATATTTTATATTACGTATTTTTTATGAATTATTAACGACTTTGAGAAGTTTCAATCAATGTCCATAATTGCCATCCGTTACAACAGACGACAGGAAACAGTTTTAATGCCTAAACTTAGTCTTAAACAACAAAACTTGGAATTCAACTGACACGTGCGCAGACAAGTTTTAGCTTGCAAACAGGTTGACGTAATCCATTTACCGCTCACGCCGTCAATCGTTATACCAAGTCCGGCAGCAATTCATTAAACATTAATTATCGTAATTTTCAACACAGCTACCAACAAAGCCGGAGGAGCCAGGTCTGCATATCGTAAATATATTGTTTTATCAGGTTCTTGACCCACAGTACCTCATAACATACCTATGATCACCTTCCAACATAACAACATCCAGGAAACAGCCGTCACGAACTTGCCAGCGGTGTTCAAAACGAGTGCATGCGCTTTCCCGCGTGCCTGCTCATACGACTGTGTATTGTGTGAGTCGGTGTTGGGTAGAGTTGTTGGCACTATACATGGATCGTCTTTAGGAGCGGGATTTTCGGGCCATCCAATGGTATAGTTGGAAGAACATCTTTGCTTTCTTAGCCACAAGTACAGAGGCCAGAAATACTCTTTCATGGGACCAACATCCATAGATCTCTTGTTGGTGAGTTTTTCAAGAGCTTCTGGCCACGACTTGCTTCTACCTAATTTCAGCATTTCCCTGAATAATTAGAAGAAAAGAGAACTTCAAGATGAAACCCAACGCGAAATTTCGTGGTACAAACCTACAGTAGGCTCTTGAACTAGACTTCACTCCCTCTCTCTCTCACTCAAAGTCGTTCCCAGGACATCTTTCCTCTTTCCATCAAAGCAGATCCTGGGATCGAGGCTGTCTAAAATCGTTCTATTTCAACTCACGGGCAAGGGAGAGCTCTTAGGACGTCTCGAATCCTCACCTCGAAAGCCCAAAGTGGCTTCTGATATGTACTGCTACAACCCTGGCCAAAACTTTCTGGGAGACCTCCCCTTTTTCACGTATTTTTGTATGGAATTTGCAGCTAACCGGCAATACACACTCAAAAACACTGCCTTAACAGGATTTATCCCCACCGCCCCCCCAAACAAAGTTGGGGTCCTTAACCTGTGCAAGATAGGTAAAAGGTGATTGACTTGTAAACACCCAACACTAACCAGGGGGGTGGGGAGAGGGGGCGAATTGAATTGCATTTTCGTCACCTGAAACACAAAGTGTCCCAAACGTTTCGACCAGGATTGTGGTTCCTCCATCAAATTGCCATATATTTTGCTTGGGAAGCAAGGGAGAATTAGACTGTAGATCAAGACTTACTAAGGACATTATAGAGCGGTTTTCACTTGACTGACGTAAAACCAAAACCAAAGTAAATACACTCGCCAACCAAAGGGCGTAGTAAAACCAAAACCAAAACCAATCCCTTTCGACAGTCAAGTGAAAACCGCTCTAACAGTACTCTTCCAGTTGACCTAAAACATTTTCAATCTGTTTAAGTATCACGGCCAGTCCTTACCCGATCTTCTCTCCAGCTTCAGTAGACTGGTATATGGAACATCGGTGAAGAGGGCCCTTAAAGCCTGCTGCTTTACAGGCCGCTTTGTGGAACTGAAACTGCAGAACTCTGCTGATAAAGTACCTAACAAGAAATCAAAACTTTGGATGAGTTTTGCATTACGTGGGATTCAGTTGTTCTCTAACGTCCTGCAAAGCCCTTCAGGCCGGAGTCACACAATGCTCTCTACTCCCACTGCGTGACTCCGGTCCGAGCGTTGTTCCCCTCCTTATTTTGAGTATGGAGTATGTAGTAAACTGCTGGTGATGCAATAATAGTTGAGTGCCTATGTTTTAGAGCACAATATTCTAAAGTTGTCTGTACTTCGTACGCCATTTATCCTACCCCAAAAGAGCGCGTTCTAGCCTTCGGTTCGTTATAGTGATCCAAAGCAGTGATAGTGATCACAAAAACAATCACGCACCTGATGTAGGGAACGTCATTTGCTACATGAAATTTGGCACCCGGATCAAAATTGCTCTCGCTTCTGTCCTGTGGGGCTTTGATGCCCTGGTACCTAGTTCTCAGTCTCCACCAGGCACTGTTGTACATGTTAGGTTTTGTTTTCCCCTGAAATACGTTCCAACGCCATTGATCCACAAGGTATCCGAACGGCAAAAAGGCAATATAGTCTAACGCCAATTTCATCAAAGAGTTGATCTCAAGACCTAGGTGCGAAAATACAAGTATTGATTACAGACTGTATATTAGAGCTACAGGTAGCCTAAGAAAAACAGCCAACATTTCGCGACACCATCTCTGGTTTGCCCGTGAATTGGCGTGTCACTACTCAGACCTTTCAACCTTTCTTTCGGGTTCCTGTAAAAAACGTTTCAGTTTTCCATTTTTAGTTTAACAGTTTTTGTTCATTTGAATCAAAGAAAATGTCATCGAGAGGTCGAAATTCTGAACGACAACATCAGCGCCCAGGGCCCAAATTTAAGCAATTACGATACCTCTATACGTCAATAACTTGCACATCTCCCATAATGCACCTTATTTGCATAACCTTTGTTTTTCATTTCTCCTGGGTATTATAGCCGTCCCAAGAAAAATTGAAAACAATGCTCATGCAAAATTTTTGGGGGCAAATAAGGTTTCATTGTGAGAGATGTGCAAGTGGCGTATGAAGCAAGCGTTGTCTCTCTCAGTTTGTGTTAGTATTTAGTACCGTAAGTCCTCTATTACTGTTAAGATAGACTCCCTAATAAAGGTGGCGGGGGGGGGAGGGAGAAGAACGGCTAAAAGGAGAGGGGGATGGTAATAACTTTTGTCCCCTGAAAAGGAAGGGAAGGCTTATAAGAGAGAGGGGAATCATTTAAGAGGGAAGGTTTAGAGGATTTACGGTAGGATTTACGTCCTTGGTGGGAAAGGATACCCGAAATTGCCGCTCACAAGCCCTGCTGGGTTTACACATCTTCGTAAGGGGTTTTTGGAAGGGCCTATAAACGGAGGGGCTTATAACTGAAATAGAAAAAGAACTTCAAAACAAGCAATAGCACTGCTGACCGAAATACGTTTTGCTGACCAAAAAACGTCATAATAAATCATATTCATTTCAGTGCGATTGGAGGGGAGCTTATATCGGGGGGGGGGGGGAGATGTATTTGTTTGTTTACAGGTGGATGGGCCTATCACTGAGGGGTTAAAAAGTGGTCAGAAAAGCGTCAGATTGCGGTACCCTAGCAGACTTACCTTCATTGGGTTTGAAGTCCTCCAGCAAACCGATCTTAGCGAGATGCTGAGGTGTTGATACAGAAAGAGACATGGTGTCACCTACAGCCTCATGGAAAGCTGGGTTAGCACTGTCACGGTATATGTACGGTTGGTGCCAGAATGACATGAAGTAGTAGACGTGGCCCATCTCATGATGTGTCGTCTCAAGCCAGTCTTGCGTTACCTCAGTACATTGGTGAATCGTGAAAAAACAAATAAGAGACCTGTTAGGGAACAGAGCCACCGCCAATAGAACATAAAACTTGAAGCGGAATTTTAACTAGCCCGAGAAAACAGCCGATATTTCGCGACGCCAGGGAACCACTGGTTTCCCCGCGAAATGACGTCTGAGAAACGAGGGCAGAAAGTCCAAACTGTCACTACCCAGATCTGAGTAGTGCTTCTGATTGGTTGGGGCAAATTTCCCACGCAGCACAACTAATGAGAAGCACTACCCAGATCTGGCCAGTAGTGATACGTCATCAGTATGGAATTTCTGCGCTCGTTTCTCAGACGTCATTTGGCGGAAAAACCAGTGGTGGCGTCGCGAAATGCCGGCTGTTGCCTCTGGCTAAATATGACCACCTAAAAATTGTCTCCAACCCACATTTTTTTAGTCAAGCGATGTGCTTAGGTAGGGCTAGACTACGAGTAGTCCCCCATTTTTCCTCAAGGATAGTAGAGGGAGCGAAACGCGAGTGCGCGTGAAAATCACCCCACGCGAGAAACGGCGACACGCGGCGGGGAAAGAGAAAAATGAGCTTTTGAACTAATGCGTTGCTCTCACAACGCAAAACTCTGATTGGCCCTTCCATGGAAATCTGTCAACATCTGTCAAAAACGCGCCAGCCGCTATCAACACTCGACATAATCACAATTTACAGAACAAAGAACTAGACATAATCACAATTTACAGAACAAATAACTAGAGCAGAACAAATAACAGCACAAAACAAATAACTAGAGTTGCTCTTGTAGAAGCAACTAAGCAGAAAACCAACCCGGCTATTGATGAGGTTCGTGTGGAGAACCGAAACCATGGTCTTGCCTGATCACAAAGGGGGAATAACAGAACAGTCGCAAGGCTGTTAAGTTAATTCAAAAGTTATCACCAAGGGAGGAACTACGTGCTCCAGTCCAAACACTCCAGTCCAAAATTCATGAGCAGTCATGACTGAGTCTCATCGCAGTTCTCCATAGTTAACGTAGTTTTAGTTTAAGCTGGAATCCATTCTTCGAGATTTGGATATCACTATCCGTCCTGCTAAAAACGCTAACGAGCTGGTCCCAGCGTGACAAAACATTGCAGGAAACCGTCACATTCACGGCCAAAAAGAAAATCGCTTAAAATTCCCTTATTTAGCCGCATTGAAGAGCTTTACTTTTCAAAAGAGGTCAAAGGAAATGCTCTTGAATCAGAGGGCAAATCATGACGACCATAAACAATAACCGCAGAAAATTAACATGCGTGTCACGACCTCTCAGTATGAAATAAGCGGCAAAAATCACATTTGCTCAGTCAAAACGTTTTCCTCCAGAGCATAATCTACCCGTCAGAGAAAAAAAATTCTTTGGAACAAGCAGCATTTTGGCATGAGTAAAAGTCGTGTGTTGCCTACACTATCAAGTTCTTCACACGAACAGCCGTGAAGATCGAAAATTAGTATCTGGGTTTTCTTTTTCTTGCAATAAATATCCCGCCGCAGTTTACCGATGACAAGAGCAATGACAGCTCAATAAGGGAAGGAATCCCATTGGATGCGCTTAATTGATTTGGAAGGGGATACGAACTTCACACTCCAAAATCAGTCGGCCGTGAAGGGTCAAAAGCTTGGGCTTTGTCTGTAGTCCCTCATTTTTCTCTCTCCCCACCGCGTGTCGCCTTTTCTCGCGTGGGGTGATTTTCACGCGCACTCGCGTTTCGCTCGCTCTACTATCCTTGAGGAAAAATGGGGGACTACTCGTAGTCTAAGGTAGGGCGGAACATGTTCATTTTATGTCTTACCCAAAATGACGCACTTGACATTTAACACTGACCTGAAAATGTAACGCAAATAACTGGAGGCTTTTTGAAACATTCATTATAGTGCTTTGAAGGTACGCTTACGTGCATGTACCAGACCACACGGTTCGCGTGCACAGTCAATCTCGACCTCTGAGCTCACGCTTTTGACTGCGCATGCGCAATAAAGAGCTCTAGGTTCGAAAATGGTGCACAGTCTTAAAAGGTCGTGGGGACGAGAATGGTGAGGAACCTCTGTTCCTGGGAAGGCCGGTACTTTCAAAAACAGGAAAGTTCTTGATTGTGGTCTCTGTTAGGCATCTCTCTGATAGCCCGCACGTTGTGATGGTAGGCGTAAAAAAAAAAAAAGGAAGGGGGGAAGAAAAGCGCGAAAGGAAAGCCTCTTCCTTTCCAAAACTTCAGCGCGATTATCACAACTCGCTCACTTTGCTAAATGAAGGCGAACTCTTCTGCGGTTGAATTCCTAAGAAAAATGTCCAGGTTCAGGAAGAGAAGAAGAGATTCATCTGGGTATGTTTACGATATCGATAAAACGTGAAATTAGGAAATTTCACGTCGTAGCAAAAAGAAATGTACCAAAAAGTGTGCTGCACGTGCAAAGCTGTTGTTTTAACCCTCGCTGCCGTTGTCGTCGCCGTAAGTCGCAGTCCTCGATCTTATAGTCCTTTTGTATTAATTTGTTATAATATAGCGTTTTCACTCACGTGGCCAGCATCTATGCAAGTTCATTGAAACAAAAGAAAGCGTTTGCATAAGAAAAGAGTGCGACTCCCACAGGATTTGTTTGGGACACCAACATGGCCGCCGTTTCATTGTTTGGGGACACCAATATGGCCGCCGTGACGTCATGTGAAAACACTTTATAGAGCTAGAGAGAAGTCGTTTCGTCACGTTGCCATGGAAGCAAAATTTCTGGATCTCAACAAACCGTGGCTTTGCAAATATGACAGAAAAAAAAGACGAAAAAAATGACAAGTAGGACTTTCCTGTCCATGATTGCTCTCAGGAACAAGACGGTAGCCCATAATTTTCTTCCATTGTTTGACAAAAAGATTATTGAGATCCAGAAATTTTGCTACCATGGCAACGTGACGTTACATTTCTCTCGGGGGTCCTAGGACTAAAAATCGGTTTTAGTAAGAGAAAAGTGTGGGCCGGGCTCGGAGGCTAAGATTGAACGAACTAAAAAAAGAGACTGGTGAAAATGATATATCATGGGGGAAGTGGATGTTTTGTTCGATTCTCGTATTTCATATACGTGACATGTTGTCGTCTCGCCTTATTTCAGACATTTATACCTTGTTTTAGATGGTTTTAGATTATTTGCGAGTGGTTGTAGATGTTTTTGAGGTGGTTGTAGATGGTTGTAGGTGGTTGTTGAATTTTTTGAGGTGGTTGGAGGTGGTTGTAGATGGTTGTAGATAGTTTTAGATGGTTTTAGGTGGTTTTAGGTCGTTCCATGTTTTAGTAACTACGATAGTCTTTACGTCATGTGGAGAATATGTCCTACTGAGCTAAAAAGAAAAACAGTTTAGACGCGTAAGGAATGTCCCCGCCATTAACAAAAGATAAGAAGACAAAAATACCGTTGGATAAAGTGAATTCCAACCAAGAAAACTCATGTTATCTTTTTCAGTTTCTTTTGGAGAGTCCCACTGATTTTTCGGGCTTTTAAGTTGGCCTTTTTTATGAAAAGATATACCACAGCTGCGGTCTGTGAAATAAAGGAAATTGTAATTTATTGAGTCTGCATGCAGGCAGGAACCAGGACAAGACTTAAAAATAACTGAGAGAAAACATAGATAACAAAATTCTGGGGACCAGTTGATTGATTCTGTTAGCGATTTGTCCACTTACTTTATATAGAAACTAGTCACAATGTTTATCTTATTTTTCTATTCAATATTTGTCATGTTGCGTAGTTTCATGTTCTCACGTTCAAGAAGTGGTAAACCTTGAGATCCCCCTTAAATCTCTCAATTTAAAACCGCTACTTATAAAGAAGAGTTTTCTTTTATACGACGATGCTGTTTAGTACAATATCTTATCTAAAGTGTACCACAGTTGAATGGAGGCGATTATCATAATTGCCAACGAGTCACCCTCGCGAGGACGCGAGGGTGACGAGGCGGCAGCATCATAAATCCGACGCGCGAGTTAGTTTTGGTACAGGGAGAAAAAATCTCGAATCAAAATGTAAGCATAAGGTAATGTAAGAGTGACATCATCGGTCATTGTTTTCGAGCTAGCCAATGGCATCGTGGTATTTTTTAATCTAAACCAATCACATCAGGACGATCATGACCGGTGACCACATGACCAACATCAGATGACCACATTAACCTCGTGGGCATTTTCTGGTGTATCCCGGCATCTCCTGTTCGTGTTGGGCATCGTGCGACTTGCGAGGTGATCAATTACCAGGCAGGAAAAGGTGAGTGGAAATATTGATTTTATTCACTCGTGAGCGTTGTCTTCTTGGGTGCATTTTAATTAAGTGTTTTTGGATCCGGGGTCGCAAATCTAGCAACTAGCAGACTGAAAAATCGCCCAGCGAGGCTAAAATCGCCCAGCGAGGCAGTTATCGAGAGCAGCTCGAAAACGGCGAGTGACAGTGTCACAGTCACGGCGAGCTTGCCAAAACAGTCAATTGTCTTGACCAGATCGGCCAGCGTGCCATTTAAGAAACAAAAAACAAAACCACTTGAATATATTCACTATAAACTCAATCAGAGGGCGTATAAAGCCTCTTTTTATCGAGCTAGTGTGCTCAGTGCTCAAAATTACAATTTTTGATCGACCAACGAGACACGAGTCACATGGCGTGTCGCTGTTAGTTGTGCGCTTTTTTCTGCTTATCCATTAGCGTGTCCGAAAGTGAAAAACAGTCTAAGCTCTGTTTGCCGGGAAGCCACTATCAGTCAAGCTTGAGGGAGCTTAGCAAATCAGTTTGGATAGTTTTTTTATTCCAAAATTGTAGGGTGCTTAGCTTCGTTTGAAATCAGAACTGCTCAGGTCCAAAGTACACTTGCTGAAGCGCGTGCACTGAAGTAACAGCTCACGAGAATTTATGATGCTTCGTCTATTGTGTGTGTTATTAGTCGTAAGTCATTATCAGGGCCATAGTGGTGAGACTAATTTCAATTTTCCACGTGGATATCAAAATGTAACCATTTTCAGATTCCGAGGAAGATATTTGTCTAGACGTATACCTTATCCTTCTAATGGTAGTTTTAATCCCTTTGCAATTTCTAATAAAGAAGCACACATATTAAATGGAAACATAAATAACTTGGAAGCTGCAAAAATGTGTGAGGAAAACAGCTATTCATTTGGTAGAGATCACTTCAGTAATTATTGTTTAAACAATGCAGGTAAATTTTCCTGTGCAGTTGATTGTTTTCTCGAGCTGTGTTATGGTGTTTTTTGTAATCATCTTCATAGCACTACACGAAATGAGTTTTTTGACGTTATCTATGAGTCATGTAATCAAAGAGAAAACCTTGGGGCTATTGACATTGTGCGAGAACCTGTGTGGTTATGGCTCAGAGATCATTGTTCATCATTTTCTGCAATGACTGCCAATGCTGTTTTTAGTGACATATTTACATTGAATACTGTCGGAGAGTTAAGTGAGGACCTCAAGTCATTGTTTGTTGTTCAGCAATGCAATCAGTCGTGTTGCGCATCATGTGGCAACCAAATCATATATAAGACAGGTATATTTGTTCTTTACATTACCTGCCCAAATATCATTTCCACGCAATTTGCAAATCATGTTTCAGAAGCTGTTCTTCCTCACAGTAGGGCTCTTTATTGTGAATCTTGCCAAAAACACAGTGGTGATGTTTCTGCATTGCGACATTTTGTAACACTTCCCACATTTTTAACTATTGAATTGTCATCCAATTGTATTGATCAAATTACATTTCCTTTAACTATGGACGTTTTAGAAAATTATTATTCACTGAAAGCTGTTGTGCGTTCTGCAAGTCAACATTTTACTATCGCTATAAATAAAGGAACACATTGGTTGTATTTTGATGATATCTGCAGATCAATTCAGCAATATTCCACTTTTCAAAACCTCTTGATTGCCCATGCCAATGGCTGGTATTTTGCTGTCTATGAAAAGTCTGCCATTCCATTCATTGATAGCGGTAATGCACATGCAGCTGTGAACCAATCTAAGTACACCCAAGAATACCTCACAGGACATTCAGTGCCAAAAGTACTCATTAATGATACTTTAACAGTGCCATCAAACAAACACATTGCACAAGCAAAACAAAATGCATACATGAAAGAATATCGAAAGAAAAGAAAAAGTAATGAAACTGCAGAAGAACAACTTGCCAAAAAACAAAAGCAAAATGCTTACATGAAAGAGTACAGAAGGAGAAAGAAAAATAATGAATCTCAAAGTGAGACGCTTGCTAGACAAGGAAAGCAAAATATATACATGAGGGAATACAACAGGAGAAAGAAAAACATTGAAACTGATACCAAAAAAAATTTGCAACGGAAGAAAAACAAAATACAAACATGAAGGAAAATCATGAAAAAAGTGAAAAACAACTTGGCCTAAAACAGAAGAAAAATGCTTACATGAAAGAGTACAGAAGGAGAAAGAAAAACAATGAATTTCATAGTGAGAAACTTACTACACGATTTAAAAGCAAAATATATACATGAAGGAATACAACAACAGAAAGAAAGACGTTGCAACTGGTAGCAAAACAATTTCAAGAGAAGAAGAACAAAATACAGTAATGAAAGAAGATCATGCAAAAAGTGTTCATGGTGATTTTAAAATGCAAGCAAAACTTATTAGAGAAGAAAAACAAAATACAGACATCATGGAAAATCATGCAAAAAGTGTTAACAGTGATTTTAAAATGCAAGCAGATCAAAATGTATTTAAATGTTTTGTGGAGAAGGAAAAATATTTGTCTTTGTTTGATAGTCAAACAAATGGACCAATTCATTTACAGGAATGGGCTAAAAAAAACATGCGAGATTTCCATAATTCTTTGAAATTCAAAATCTATAAATGCAACATCTGCCATGAAGCATGGCCATTGTCAGAAAAATGTAAAGATGAATCTACATATGTGTGCTCTAGGTGTTTGCGTGACAAGAATGCAACAAAAAGTTTTCAGTTGACAATAATATGATACCTTCACAAGCACCAAAAGAACTGCAGGGACTCACGCAATTAGAAGAAATGCTTATAGCACGTGTATTTCCAGTAATATCTGTTTATACAAAACCAGGGGGCAAAAGGCATACAAAGGGCACTGTATTAATTTTTCCCAAGATATTCAAGAGCTAGCTAACTCATTGCCAAGGTATCCGAGGGAGCTGCCTGTGATAGTTGTGTCAGTCAAAGGCAAAGATAATACTTATAAAGATCTTACAGTAAGGCGGGAAAAAGTGAGCTGTGCTCTACACTGGTTAGTCCAGCATAACCCTGTATACAAAAATATTACTATAGATTATGACTGCTTGTCTTCCTTGCCATCTGAAGGCATCCCAAGTGAACTGCATCAGATTGATTGTATTGAGAATACTAAAGATAAGGAAATGGATCCAGACAGAGGTCCACTTGATGTCAATGAAATACCATTCAATGAAGAGACAGAATTAAGCAGCACAATCCTTAATCCAGTAACCTTAAAGCCTCAAAAGCAACTTATTACAGATCAGTTATTGCAAAAGCATAAATTAAATTGGCCACACAGAGACGCAAGCCCTCTGAATGAATTTAAGATCGAATTTCTAGCAACAATGGCATTTCCCACCCTATTTCCTGATGCTAAAGGAGACCCTACAAACACTGCTATAAAGCGGGGTGCAACTTTAGGAGAGAAAATAAAGCATCTAATTAAATTTGCTGAATATTCTAATGATGAGTGGACTTATAGGTTTGCAAGCCATCCACGATTTGCATATTGGGCTTTTAATATGATTCAGAGGCATAGACTTCTTAGTCAAGGGAGTATTTTTTTGAAACAAAACCCTAGCGATGCAAAACTAACTGTGGAACAACTTAAACAGATGCTTCAGTCAAATAATCATTCAACTTTAATGTCTAAACTTATGCATTATGCTAAAAATATAACTGGTAGCAATAGCTATTGGCACAAAGCAAAAGAGGATTTAAGGGCTACCGTTGCTCAAGTAGGACCTCCTACAATTTTTTTTACCTTGTCTTGTGCAGAGTACCATTGGCCAGAATTTCATAATCTTCTAAGTAATGACCACTGTGGAGATATCACACCAAAATTGAGACAGAAACATGTTATTGACAATCCACATCTCATTGACTGGTTTTTCACTGAGCGAACTGATCGGTTTGTGAAGTTTTGGCTGAATAAATCATTACAGGCATCTTGGTATTGGTACCGATATGAATATGCTGTTCAGAGGGGATCGATTCATTGTCACGGAGTTGCAAAATTGCAGAATGATCCAGGGCTTTGTGAACTTACAGCAGTTGCACTGCAGGGTTTTTTGGCATCAAAATATATCAAAGAACACCAAGCAAATATATCAATTGAAGAACTACAAGAACTGAAAAATAAGGAGAAAAGGGGGGAAAATGCTGAGGCAACTGTTTGCCAATATGTCAATTTTTATTAACGACATGGAATCCTTGTTCTCCAGATGAAGGTTGGTCCAAGCCAAATTCTCATCCATGTCAAACACCATATCTTTCCTTAAAAAGAAGAAAATGGAAGATGACTATGTGAATCTATTGAATTCTGTTCAAAGGCATACGTTGTGTAGTACTAAGTATTGCCTTAGGGAAAAAAGACGGTTGCGAATTATGCTGCAGGTTTAATTTTCCATTTGATAACTGTAAAAAAACAAGGATAGATTTTGAACCTGTCCATACAAAATCAGGTCAACCAAAGTATAAAGCAGTTATTGTTACTAAACGAAATGACTCAAGATTAAATCGTCATCAACCATTGCAGCTTCAAGGATGGAGGGCAAATTGTGATATCCAAATTATTGTGGATTACCAGGCATGTTTAGAATATCTTGTTAAGTACACATCCAAAGGGGAAAAAGCATCTTCCGTTGTTAATAATGCATTCACCACTATTGTTCAGAAGCTTTCAGACACAAGTGACATTCATAACACATTTAAGCAGATAATGATCAAATCTGTAGGACAAAGGGACTATTCAATTCAAGAGGTCATGCATCATTTACTCTCTCTTAAGTGTGTAAGTGCTACTTATGAAGTAATAAATGCATCTCTAGATGGCTCAAGAAGAATTCAAATTGTAAGAGATAAGGAATATTGTACTGCCCCATCCATGCTCGATATATATGCTGAGCGAAGGAAATACATGAAAACATTTCCAAGTATACTAGAATGCAACTTTGTACAGTTTACATCTACATATATTAATAAAGGTTCAAAACTAGAGAAAAGAAAACGACCAGTAATTGTTAAAACATATCCAAACTATTCATCAAATCCTCAAAATCAGCATTATGGGCTTTTTTGTAAATATCAACTACTTAAGTATAAACCTTGGGAGCATACACCAGATGATGCCTGGAGTAATGCTGAACACTGTAATGAAACATTCAAAACATGTTGGATGAATTTTCTCTGTAGTAACAATGGAAAGGCTGTAGTTCCTGACTGGGAAATCAAGTTACAAGCCTTAAAGGAATCTATTAAGCTAGAAACTGACAATTTTACAACAGAAAATGATGAAGAAGAGGAAAAGGAAGAATGGATGTTAATGTCTGAGTTGAATATTCAAAACATTACTAATGATGCACAAAGTTCTGTCTTAGCTCCTGAGGGATATTGGCACAATGTTACTGAACACTTTGATGAAGAGCAACTAAATTCTGTAGTATCTTGGTTAGCGAATCAAAAATCTATGAATAATCCTCAGTGGCAAATGCCAACAAGGATAGTAGATATTTCAAGCTTTAGTACAAACCAAAGATTGGCATACAACGTAGTTTGTGATCACTTTAACAGAAGTGACAAAGAACCTATACTTCTCCTAATTAAAGGTATTGCAGGGTCAGGGAAAAGCTATCTCATTGACGCCATTAGAAATGTACTCCAAACACAATGCAAGGTGCTAGCGTACACTGGAAAAGCATCTTTTAATGTGAATGGTGTAACTTTGCATTCATTTCTCAAATTGCCAATTGGCTCAAAAAAGACTCACTGAACTAAAAGGAATAGCACTACAACAGCTTCAAAGTAATGTAGAAAATCTTCGGTATTTGATAATAGATGAATACTCTTTGGTTGGTCAGAGTTTGCTTGGCTGGATAGATTCTAGATGCCGACAAGCTACAGGCCTGGCAAATCAGAGTTTTGGTGGTCTTTCGGTTATTGTTGTGGGTGATATAGCACAGTTACCCCTGTTGGTGATAAACCACTTTACCATTCAATGCCCAAAACAGATAAGCAGATTCAGGGTCATCTCATGTATCAACAGTTTAACAAAGTAGTTGCATTGACAGTTAACCACAGAGTTGATGGTAACAGTAGTGAGCAGCACCTTTTTAGGGATCTTCTTCTCAGAGCACGTAATGGTGAATCCACACCAGCTGATTGGCATACATTACTGTCAAGAACTCCAGACCGTGTATCAAATATCCAGGAATTTGAAATGTCATCAATAAGACTATCCTATCTCAAGTCTAGTGTTGCAGAGATAAACATAGCCAAGTTAAAAGCTCTTAATCAACCAATAGCAACTATAAAAGCTCGTCACTCTGGTGGTGCTCAGAACCTTAGCTCAGATGAAATGGGAGGCCTAGAGCCTGTGATTTACTTAGCAAAAGGAGCGAGAGTAATGCTCACTATGAACATCTGGACTGAAGTTGGACTTTGTAATGGAGCCCTAGGGACAGTATTAGATTTTGTTTATCCACATGACCAGACTCCCCGACGCTACCAATTTGTGTTCTTGTACAGTTTGACGACGATTATAATGGCCCTACTCTTTCTGCTAGATTTCCAAGATGTGTTCCAATTTGTCCAATAACACAGGTTTCTCAAAACCTAGGTCAAAAATGTGAAAGACAGCAATTACCCCTAAAGTTAGCATGGGCAATCACTATACACAAGAGTCAAGGTTTAACGCTAAAGAAAGCCTGGGTTGATCTTGGTCCTTCAGAAAAATCTTCAGGAATGACATATGTTGCACTAAGTAGAGTTAAGAAACTTGAAGACCTAATGGTAGAACCCATGACCCTGGATAGACTGCAAGCACCCAAAAAAAAAAATGTGCAATTTAAATTACAGACTTAAAGAAGAAGAGCGGCTAGATGGTTTAGCCCAAGATACTTTGGACAGTTTATTGTAGAATCCTATTGCCCTAAATATATTAAACATCCAAACCAGATAAAACCACTTTTAACAATTAGAGTTTGATTAACCAGATGTGAGCCTTGATTCAAGATAATGTAAAGGATACAGATTTTAACTTGAAATAATGGCATAAATTGAGTGGAAAACTGCTACAATGTACATAACCTTTATTTAGAATTTTTTTTTTTTGTTACAGATTCTTTGTGGAAAGAATGTCAAAGCGTGAGCCAGACCTTAACTCGGGTACGTATTATGATTATGGGGGAAGAACAGTAGATCAGAATGCAAGGAAAATGGTGAATAGGTACTAAACACAGAGACTACAGTGATTTGTTGCCTATTTAACATGAATCTTTTGATTTTTTTCCTTAGAATCACTCTGTGGCTTTATACATAATTTAAGCCCTGTAAAACGCTCAAAGAGAACGGATTGGTTTGAGTTTCATCTGCAAACAAGTCCTTCCAAAGTACAGCGAGTAGTTGGATTTAATATCCCAAGCCACTCAACCTTCAGTGGACATAACAAATCAAAAACCCTGTGCTGCTGTCAAATACTAAGAAGAATGATTCGAACAAGGACATTATCTTCAACCAACAGTCAATTGTAAGGTCTGCACCAGCGTTCGACATTGACTTTGATTATTCTCCAGACATTGCTGCATCTGAGTCATCCTCCTCTTCAGTGCAACCTGCTACTACGATCACTCTGGAACAGGTACCAACTCTAAAGATAAACCAGAAGGTCAACGTCACAGCAACGATTTCATTGGGCAGTGAACAACCTAAGCCGGTTGAAGTGAAATCCACACAAAAGATGACGCTCGTCAAAGAGGATTGTGTCTTAGAAGATGAGACAGGTACAGCTGAAATTCACATTTGGGATGAGCTCATCAACAACGTGAAAAATGGGACAACATATGAATTCCAAAACCTGAACGTCAAGCACTTCAAAGGAAGCACCCACTTAGCAACGACACCAGCAACTACCTTCAAGGAAGCCAGCAAACAACTTAAGTCTGTGCAAGGGCCTACACTACTGGAAAACCCAGAAAAGAAGTTAAAGTCGAGATGTTCAAGTTTCTTAACAACCTAAGCATATTCGTTGCTTGTCAAGCTTGTAAGAGGAAGATAACAGAGAGTGCCCATCAGAAGTACATAAAATGCAGGAACTGCGGAGTAAGGCAGCGTCAAGGCGAATGCAAGAGAGATGCATCTGTGCAAGTCAAAGTAGAAATAGCTGGAAAGGAAATATGGCTGACAGCGTTCACAAAAGAAATTGAAAGTCTTCTGGCTCTGTCTCCAGAGCTTTCCCTTATGAGTGACTCAGAATCTATTGAAGACCACCTTATGGACCTCAAGGATATCCACTTCACCTATAATGTGAACAAAAACACCATAACCCAGGTGACATCTCTTTCAAATGGACTGGCGCAATGACACTATGGAACGATTGATTAATGGGCTATCTTGGCATGAAACTACTTACTATGTAAACTACGTTCAAAGTTGCCTTCTAAAATCATGTTAAAACACGAACATGAAACATTTTAAAAAACAAAGAAATCATGTGAGATATGCATTTTTTATCTCTGTTACAAGTTCAGTTCTTAAAGACATTTCAAAAAACAAGGATTTGCATTTGGAATCTACTTTACAAGTTTCGTTTTTAAAAACATTCTAAAAGACGAAGAAAAGCATCTCAGATTTGCATTTGTAATTTACGTTACAAGTTTTGGTATTAAAGACATTTGACACATTTCAATTCATGCTCATTTGTCTCAGGTAATGCAAGGGCTACATATATTTCAGCTCTAATCTGCCTTACAAGTTTAGTTCTTACGGACATTCTAAACAACAAAGAATAGCATGTGCGTTTTGCAATGCTTTTTTAAACAATCATTCAATTTGAAAAAAATGTTCTGTAGTCTGGTTACTTCTTCATTTTCATTCGGCAAGCAACTGTCGCCGTTTTTACTCGTTGGCACTCTAGCGCCAGCTATTTCTAGTTTATAATGTGTAATTGGTGCTTGAAACTCACGGGAAAGAAAGTGTTATCTTTTACGCATCTCTTTTATTCTACGTAGTAGGAAACAGGAAATAAATCTGTCAATGGCGTGGTTATCATATCCCAAATGCGTTCATTCGCGATGACCAAACAGAAAGGAATGTATTAAGCAACTCGATGAAGAGTTCTAGAATGAATTTCAAAGTATGACCCTTTAATGCAAGATTGCCGATAAGAGTCCGGTAAGATTTCGGTGAATATGGACTCTTTATTTTTGCAAAATATAAATCTTCTATGAAAGACAGGAAGTTGATCATTGACATGACACTTCATACAGGTTCTTGATCTTAGAAGTTTGTTCTCGAAATACCTTGGATGAGCGCGTCGCGAGTCGCGACCATCGGTAATTTGTTAAGATAAAAAAGGTAACAAGTTGTTGTTATTAAAAAATAACAACAACAACAAAATAAAAGAGAGAAGAATTGAAAAGAAACAACGATATTTATAGCCTTTAGCTGGCAAGCTCTCCATTTATGGCAGGCGAAGCGAGTTCGCGAGAAAACGCGCGAGCGAGCGGCGAGCACACGCAGTTGCGTTTGAAGGAGGGCTGAATCTCCCCACTCTAAGAGGAGAAAATGGCTACTACGATAAGAAAAACAAAAATCACTCAATCTAACGGAATTCGCTTTCTTAAAACTCGTGCTTCCTCCGTAAGAAATAGCACGTTCCTCTCTTAATAATACAGGATGGCGTGACTGTCACGCACTGGAAACGCGCCTTCAAGCGACTGAAAATTAAAATCCCAACCTACCTCACGTCTTTTTCACCGTCCTCTGTTTTGCTGTACATGTCATAGGCAGAGGGATGACACTCGACATCCCGTCCTTTGGGTTTTCTAATCATGGACATTTGCAGAAATGTCTTGGGCAGTTTCTCCATTCCGAGAGATAGGAAAAACTTCTCGGTTAAATTAAACATGTCTTCCACTTTGAAATTCTTTTTTCGCATAGACTGGGTGACATCCAGGCTTGATCTGTCTTTATAGGGCTCGACCAACGGGTAAATTGCAACCCAATTCTGTGCCCACATGTTACCAAGCAGGTGAGCAGGGATCGCATCGTTCTCTCGCACATGGGGATAACTTCTCGCAAGCTGCGAACGCACGTAAGCGTGTAGTTCTTGATAAAACGGCTCCAAATCTTTCCAAAGAGATTTCACGAGCCCTGGAAGATCCTTAACCTCGTAAGGTGCTCGCCAAAAAACTCCATAATTGGTATAACCGTTGTCTCTTGCACCTTCATTTGTAAGGTTGACGTATTCTTCGAAAAGAGGTCGCAATTTGGGGCCGACCGTGTTACGCCAGTCTAACCACGCATACAGCAACGTCGTATAACTCGAAGAATTAGCCATGATATTTGTTAAATCTGGGGAAAGTGATAGATTCTTTTTTGTCGCATAATCATAAACTTGGGAAGCGCTATATATTTTTTGCATTTGTATCTTAATCTCAGTGAGTCTTCTACGTTTCTGTAGATTTTTCAAAGTCGCTGAGACGCGAATTAACTTAATTTGGCGTTGAAGATCCTCAGACAACTCCTCGTTGCTGATGAACTCCTCGGCCTTTTTTCTTTCTTGTTCTAGAAATTCCTCGAACGCCAAAGTTACAGCTTTCTTCTCCTCTGCTGCTTCGGCCGATGACACATTACAAGAGTATCTCCAGCTCGCGATCTCAAGTTTGTTCCTCTCCAACAAAGCACGGTTGTTGAATTCCGTTGTAAACTCTACCGCTTTTGAGTTAGTCTCGGCCAAAACGACGTGCGTTAAAGAAATCAAGCAAAGCTTCAGAAGAAACATTGTGCGCGAGGCCAGTTGTTAGAAAATAAACAAATATCCCTTGTAAATAGCGACATACGAAGCGGATTTTAAAGCCTGTCAGCGTTACATTTACTACACAAATGCCTCGCGTATATCACCATGCGGTGTTGAATGAAATTGGATACTTAGGTATCTGATACCGAAAAATTGTCTAACATCTTGAAGGGGTGTTTCTGGTGTTTGTGGTAAAATATTTAGCTTCAAAAAGTAAACAGCAGTTTTCTTTTCAGTCTAGGAACGCAAAAGTACGCATTTTAAATTCCTGACTCATTGTGTATGTATTACCCAACACTAACCGGAAAAAATTTCTATCATCTGAGAGACAACTGAAACGCGACACGATTTTTTTAAGTTGCAAGCTTAGTGTTGAGAAGCTTAAATTTTGCTTGAGAAAGATCGGGGTTAGAAGTTGCGGACATCTTTAAGGTGCGTTTTTAACCATTTCCTTGCAAGAAAAGGAAATAAATAAATTAATAAATCATCCCCTGGTTTAAACGATTAAATAGTCATCTGGAGGGGGTGTGGTTTAGGGAGGTTTCTTGTACATGGGCGTTTTTAGGGGAGCTCGTCTTTCATGACATTTTTTGCATGACACTTTTGACAACCGCCTGTCCACAGGGTAATTTACATTTTAAAGTAATAAAAAAAGAAGGATTAAGACCCTTCGATCAGCTTAGCGGTCAATGTCAAACAAAACTACTTTTAAGTACGTACTCCCCCTTTGATAGATTGTGCTCACAAAAGTATGTAGCATAATATGCAGTGCAGTGCTCGTAAGTTATGTCAATACCTACGCTAGTTTTTGTAAGAAATTATGCTCATTTTAGCAAAAAACGAACAAATTGTGCTTGAAGGGAGCCACACATGTGCGTTTACAATACAGTCGAGTCCCCTGTGTTTTCCAGAAGTGTTTCAAGGAATTATGACCGTGATTGTAGATTCGCTTTGGGTTGTGGGCTGCTGACCCGAATTTTCGCTCAATCCCGTAATCCCGGTTATTTTTTGGCGTCTCGTGTGCACACTTTCAATCCCGAATTTCGCCACATGTTGCTTTGAAATCCCGAATCTCGCCTTTCAAATGAGGCAAATCCTGGATCCCGAAATGATCCTGTATTTTCTGTAATTTTAACCTTGATAACTCGAACCTCCCGCCAACTCGAAGAAATTTTTGTTTCCCCTCAGATCATCTCTATAGCTATATAATTTTACCCTCGTAGATCACAACACAGTGGCACATTCTCCGGTACAGCTTTAACGAGAGTAACCCCCTGGAGTTCATGGAAACGCGGAAATTACAACCTCGTCCTCTTGAAGAGGAAGTTTCCAAGGCGGCTGCAAAAATTAGAGATTACTACCACCTGAAAATAAATACTTTACCGGATTTTCGACAAAAGATTTTGTGACGTTTGTTAAGGAGATTTTCAGTTGAACATCTGATTTGCTGGATTTTCTATGGAACAACAAAGGAACCGGGGTAGATGACCGTATAAATACGAAAAGTATTTTTTTCATCAAATAAACTTTTCTAAAACCACACAGCATTACACACAAGTGGTTACGGACATCAGGAGTGATACCTTCCGTTCAGTAAAAACATGTGTCAACCGTAAAAAGGAGTTATCTAGGCCAAGAAAAAGCCTCTTTCAAAAGGCTCGAGACAAGCACGCACGCAAAACGCGTTTAACACGCGAATATTAGCCACGGAAGTTGGCGCATGGCAAAAAATTGGATTACTCGTAATACGATGGGATTATCCAAAATAGGAGAGGATATAAAAGGAATATAACATTTTGTCAAGAGAAATGTTCTTCACACGTCAATACAAAAGTGCTCTGACTAAAGACGTTTTGTCTCAATTTGTTGCGTGTTTGCCTTGAAAGATTGAAGGCCTTAGCGAATCAATTCTTTTGCGCTAAATAGTCTGATAATCTGATAATCCTTTTAACAACGACAATGTTGGCACTTTTCGAGAGCAGAATACTATACTATTGTACAAGCAAAGTATTATAGTTACAGAGATACTTGGAGATACTTGTAAAATTACACAAGCGGCCCAGGGAGGGGGGAGGTCAAGTGAGGGGTTGAATCTCGTATCAAAGTTACAGGAATAATCGTCGGAACATTTGAATTGAACCCCTTACAGAGAATACACAAGACGAAAGAATTGCAGTGAAAAATGTTGAAATTGCATGGTGTTAGACTGTTTAAGATCCTCTATTTGTCCAGAGATCATCGAGATCGATGCCACGTTGGTTTCCTTTCTACCTTGGGGGAGGTCGACAGGGTTTAACGGGGGAACCCTACGCGAATCGACCAGCACTCCTCTTTCCTTTATATGGTCGTCCCCCCGGGTACAAAGGACTCGATCGTCTGCAGTCAGTAACTCACGCCTTACGTAAGGTAACAGGGGAAAAAACAACCGTTGTAACCGAGTTTTCATTTTTAGATCCTTGTAATCGTGCATGAGTAAGCTACACTGGAGTAGTTTGGTTGTGTGATATTGTCCTTCATTGATCTACAGCCAGTTCAAGGTCCGGGGGAACTCCCTAAAATGGTCTGTGAGGGGAGGCTCCGCCTGAAAGGGGTGCCTATTTCAGGCTTAAGAGTAAGAATTTCACTAATTGAAGTTCATGAAAGGGTAGGGAAATCTGTCATTGCAGTCTGCAACAGGTCTAACAGAAAACTTCCGCATTTAGGGATTTTGTCATTTTTATAAATATGAAAAAGACGGTGCATAAGTGAAGGGGGTACCATTTGGCAATAAAAGGTATACGAAAGAGGTACCGTTTCTTTCAAAATAAAGAGGTAAGGGGTTTGACCTCGGAGCAGCCTCCACGTATAAAATTTTGTTACAGTCAAACCAGGTGAAGCGTACCCCTCAAGAATTCATTAATGAATTTATTATTCAAAAGTTGAATCCGTTGTTAGTTGTAGATTTCAGATTGATCTCTGCATTTATGCATGTGTAATGAGCCGTGAATTCACACGCGAGGCAGTTATGAAATTTCTACCAGCTCCGTTTTCCTGAATTTGATGTAAATGTCTTCTAAGAAACTTAATCCATTCAAAGATTTTCAATCTGACCAAATACAGAGAAGTTCTCGTAAAATATTCACTGTTCATTACGCATGCAGAAATGCCGCTTTGAATTTCACATCAGTTACGGGAACGACTAACGGCTTCATTTTTCAAATAATCAATTCACTGATAGAATCTTGGGGAGTACGCTTGACTTGGTTTGACTGTAAGTACCCCCAACCCAGTACAAGGTGCTTCTGTGGTAAAATGCCAAATGCAGGCCTTCATAGACTTAATTGTTAGGTGCCCCCTACCTCCGGGATTTCTGAGGCTTTACTAACCCTCTTAAAGACTAGTAGAAGAAATGAAAAAAATAACTAAATAAAAAAATAAAAATAAATAATAAATTCTTTGCACGCCCCTAGCTGGCACTGTACCAACCAAAACCGTGGACGGTACAGACAAATCCCAGACGTTAATAACAGATAAGAAGAGGAAACAACAAAAGAAGAAGCTAAAACCGTATTTTCATTTAACAAGCTATAAATAGCTGACATTCAGTTAAGCAGGACAGACTAGTCACGGAGTCAAAATATATATTAGGGTAATGACACAGGCTAACAGAGCATTTTACAGTGAATTATACAAGGACAATACGCAACATCAAACTGTCGACGTACTTTTGTATAATGAAGTTCACTTGACAGCTAGGGTATAGATAGTCTCCCTTGCAGCTGTTTTCGTAATGGCTGCGAGGGAGACTAGAGTATGAAGGAACCCACTCCGGAACACGGTATGTAGAAGTAGTACCCCGCGAGCAAGCCCTCCTATTTTGGCAAGCGAAGCAAGCCTCGCGAGAACGTGCTTTCCTCTGCCCCTCGCGGCTTCGCCGCTCGCTCGCGCGTTCTCGCGAGACTCGATTCGCTCGCCCAAATAGGAGAGCTTGCTCACAGGCTACAGAAGTGGAAGACTTAGCCTATCCAAGCAGGACTTGAGTGCTATAACACTGTTAGCTTAACAGCTGGAAACTTTTCCCCAACAGCGTGCGCTCTCATTGCTTACTTCAAGGTCACATGACATTTAACAATGAAACTGCATGTTTCCTGCCAAAATCTCTGGGCAATCTGGGCAATGACGTCAGAGGGTAACAATGCACTCCTGTTACCCGCAAATGTTGACCGACGACCGCCGTTTTACAGCCAGATTTAATGAATTTCCAGCTTTAAAATTGTCAGCTATATAACAAATGACTCAAAGACTAGTCCCTCGGGGAACAGTTCAATTTTGTTTATTAACTGTTTCCCTCGGGACTATGAGTGTTTCGAAACAATTTTCGTCTCTACTGGTGTACCCTGCATATCGAACAACGAACAACGCCCATACGCCTCGTTAGCATGTACTTTTCCACACAGCTTCTAGAATATGAAAAGCTTCTAGAATGCCTTCCCAGCCTGTGAGCATAAGCCTCTTAATTCCTTCCCTCGAGTTAATCCCAAGTTAATCTGAGACAATTTGCCTGCACTGTATCGTACAACATAGCGTTTCCCTTAATTTAACTTAATAAGCAGATTTGCTTCTAACTGTCACATCAAAGCCCATAGCCCTAGCAGCATAATTCAGTGGCTAGAAAAGATTAAAATCCCATGCAACGAAGAGATGGGAAAGCAAAGTATTAAGTAAAACACTGATGTTTTGTATTGGTAAGCGATACTTTAATACGCTGTTTGAAACATCCCAAGATTACCCTGGCGGCGAATAACCGAATAGGTTTAGCGTGGTTCAGTTTTCATTTTGTTATGTTTATTTATTTATTTTTTTTTTTGGGTGAATGGCAATGGTTGATTACTAGTTTCAAACAAAGGAAAATAAAAACTGAGCAAAGGAAAAAAAAATTGATCTCAACCGGTATTCAAGCATAGTGTAAAACTGACAAGGGAGGGGTGAGAGACAGGAAACTGCAGGGGAGGGATTAGGAGGTTTAAATGATGGATGGGAAAAGAGGGTAGGGCCTTACTAGGGAGCTTAAGCAACGACGACGGAAAAAAAGCAATAGGGGTAGATTGGCAAAACAACAACTTCATTTACACGTGTATCACGCTTTTTTGTACATTTCTTTGCCGTCCTTGCACGACTACAACATGAAAATGCCTAATTTCACGTTTTAACGAGGACGTGAAAAGAAGACACCAATTTTCTTTTTCTTTTCCTGAACTTTGATACAGTCTTTTAAGAATTCAACTAATAAAAATTGCCAACATTTGACGAATTAAACGAGATGGAATAAGCGTGATAAAGTTTGAGGCAACGCGAAGTGACGTTTGCGTAGCCGTCGCCGTCGTGGTTGCTTCAGCTCCTTACTGACTCACCATCTCAGTCGGCATGTAAGCTCCCTGGACTCAGTAGTTAGAGGTAAAACTGACAAGGGAGGGAAGAGACGGGAAACTGTAGGGGGAAGGGGGGGTAAGTTATCAATGGTTGGGAGGAGTGGGTAGGGCCTTACTGACTTAGCATCTCGTTCGGCAAGTAAGCTCCCTAGAAACAGTAGCTAGAGGTAAAACTGACCAGGGAGGGGAGAGACGGGAAGCAGTAGAAGGGTTAAGGGAGGTTAAGTAATCAATGGCTGAGAAGAGTGGGTAGGGCCTTACTGACTCACCATCTCAGTCGGCATGTTAGCTCCCTGGACCCAGTAGCTAGAAGTAGCCATGCTTTGAACAATCCATTCTTGATGGTCTTTTAAAGTCGCTGACCTTGCGTCTCCACGAACAGAAAATCCTTTATTTGATTGGCTAGTTTTCTTTGCGCAGAAAAAGTGCCTACAGTAAAAACTATACGAAGCAGCTCAATACACCTTTTAACTATAAACAAAGCATTTACAAGGACATATACATTTTACGCGCCGAGAGACTGACGTGTAGGCGGCAAGAGTCTCACAATTAACACGTATTGATCTACTTCAAGATTCAAATTATTTCTAGTAAGCATTTTTTAGGTTCTGGATGTTGAGAGGAAGTTACTAACGATGCCACAGCTGTGCTCCTTAAAATTCGTTCTTAGTCTGTCTCTTCGGTTCTCTCCGTCGCCAGGGATCGGAAACCCGAGACAGCCTGGGAACTAAGCTGTTGCTCCTTTATAGGGTTCCCTTGCTAGAGGGCAGAACCAAGATGGCGTTTTGCTTAGACGATCAAGTGTGACAATCGATTTGAACAGCCTATAAAAGCTATTTCCGTATGACCTTGAAAAAAGATGGCTTTGACCGGGTCACAAACGCGCAAGCTAATCAAACCATACATGCAGATATGCAGGCTGTTAACGTTTGAAGGGACAAACTTCATGTCAGTTAAGAGCCACTCTTCTAAATGAAGATAGACATATTCTTATAAGGAGATTAAAAATTCAGTGGGATAGACGCTGGCCTCCGATTAACATTTTTGTGCCTGATCAGAGGCAAGCATTCGAGCCGTGGAACTGGTTTGTTAAGAGTAGCATCCCAGGGGGTCTATCGCCCGTTCTTGAAAACATGCGTCGCCGTTCGTCCCAACCGTCTGACCAGCATTTCTAGACGTGATTTCTAGACTGGAAGCAAAGAAAAAGCTGACCTGATTGAAGTTACTCGCTTTTCAGAAAAAAAAAATTGCATCAGGCAATAAATACTTTTAAAATTACTTTTTCAAGGCCATACGAAGTTTGCCCAGTTTAATGCAAACTCAAACAGTCTAATTATTTTTACAACTCCATATTTGCCCCATTTAGCCAAACAGTACTACGAAGATACTTTTGTAGTTAACTTTCATTTACATGGTTACAGCGTGCTCTGGAAGCGCCCTGTTAGGCAGATCAAGTAACGCTTTTGGTTGGCCAGCAAAACTAATTCCTTTACACAAACCACAAATTATGCGTGACGCACACAGAGCGAGAGAACGTGTCTATGGATTGCCACGCTGGCCTCAAACAGAGTATCTATTTTCTCGTTATCGTACTAATATACTCTTTAGTGGGCAGGTAGTGAGAGTTACGATAATGACCGACAATTTACAGGAATCAATCAGCAACAAGAGTGGATATTCTGAGCCTGCAGGCTCTTGTACAATTTCTGGAGAGTAACCCATGATAGTGTTCGTATCTCCGTTCAAAGTTCTATACATGGTATAAACTTGGTGGTAAACGAGGTCACACCTCACTTCTTAGTACATCCACAGAAGATGCTGCGTGACAAAATGCACTACACCCGCTGGTGTCACGCTACGTAATGGTACTGGTTAGGGACTTCTTTATCTCTTTCCATGTAGTCTCTCTCTATGAGGCTTTCAATACGTTTCTTTAGGTCTGTGGGCTGTAAGACGAAAAGAAAAACTCAGTGTCTACTTATTAAGCTGTGTGGATACTACAAAACGTCGTCTGATGAGAGCCGATTCTCTGCGACTGAAATTTTTACAGGGGTCACGGAAGAATATCAAAGGAATATGAAAAGTACAAAAGTCGGAAGCGACTACACGGTTTGACACTTGCGTTCAGCCATATCCGGACGGAGGTATTGTAGTCTTTAGCAACCGGAAAAACGGGGGTCGCTGACGTGCCAACCGTAAGTAATTTACCACGCATCGAAGGGGGCAAAATCAAAACAAGTGAAAGCCGAAACACGCCATTCCAATATGGCAGACATCAAGTTGCCGGTGAGACTTCTGCTTTCAGTAGACCCAGTTACCCATTTCCCATGACAACGACAACACAGAGAGGAGCTGGAACGCTGGGACCGAAAATAGGGAAACATAATCCGGAAAAATTCATTTTAGGAACATTTTTAGCGTTTTTCGTTATTGAAACAATCAGTGGGTTCATTTTAATTTGGTAAACCATTTAGAGATTGAAACGTCTCAACATTCCATTCATTTGCCATGTCCATTTCTTACGTGGAACAGTACTTATAACCCCCCCCCCCCCCCCTTATCGAGCATCATCACACAGAGAAGTCAGGAGAATCACACACACGATCATCAAAGACTAACTTGCATCAATGCAAGCGTAAAAAATGTTTCACAGTTGCTCAGTATCAAGTACTCATTGGCGGATCCGGGGGGCGCCCCATCTTAGTTTTAGACCAAACTAAGACCCGAAGGGCCGAAAAAAATATTTTTTAAGACCGCCCCCTCCTCACTTATCTGAGGGTCTGGATCTGTCACAGGTGCTTTGTAAGTACACTGAAACGCTTCGGCTGTCTTTCCCACAGGCGGCCCAAGCTCAGTGTGTGAGTTTAATCATTAACACATGTAGTTTCATATTGCGTAATTTAAAATGGCCTTGAATATAAAGGATTTGTATGGGAATTCAGGTAAAAGATTCAAATCGGCAAATACTCGCTAGAATGTTCAATAAAATACAGCTTGCCGTTTTTACTTTGTTTGTTTTTGTTTGCTGTGTGGTCATTTTTCCGATCCATTGCGATGTAAGCGATTTCCTCTAACCCCGAGTTTTTAAATCGCAATGGATCGGAAAAATGACCACACAGCAAACAAGAACAAGCAAAGTAAATACGGTAAGCTGTATTTTATTGAACATTCTAGCGAGTATTTGCCGATTTGAATCTTTTACCTGAATTCCCATACAAATCCTTTATATTCACGGCCATTTTAAATTACGCAATATGAAACTATATGTGTTAATGATTAAACTCCCACACTGAGCTTGGGTCGCCTGTGTCTTTCCAAACGGATAAAGAGAGGGGAAATAGGCCACTTGCAGCTAGCCATTCACCTGGTACAAAACTGCCGTGCTGGGGAGCAAAAGTCGCACTGGGACAAGACAAACAAAGGAAATTGCCAATCAAAATTATGTATGTCTTTTGTTTGTCTTGTCCCAGTGCGACTCTTGCTCTCCAGCATGGCGGTTTTGTACCACGTGAATGGCTAACTGCAAAGGGCCTATTGGATCTTTAAAAAGTTAGGAGAATCTTTGCATGACTTTCAGTTACCTTAACAGGAAACTTGAGCTGGTTATATAATTCGCTAACGAGAAGGGTATGACTGAGCGTCTTTCGAGTCTTCATGATCCGTACAATGGCTGCGTCGATCTGCAACACAATTATAGCGATAACCGAGATTGATGACTTTTTATCAGCAAGATTACGAGCTTGATAGCCTGTTAGTGGAGAGTGGCGCGAAATGGGGAGCAAAAGGAAAACTGAAAAGTGGGAGAGAGGGAGAGTGAAAAGTGAGACAACACGTTCTCCTTCCCTGTCCCCTTACCTCCGGTCCTAAGCTGTTTTTTCCTTCTCACTTTTCTTTACGCCGCCCCAACTATCTGAATGCCTAGCCTGCGTGGCAGACGTTCGCAGGGGAAGGGAAAGGGGCGCGCGAGGAGGGAGGTTTCCCTCTCTCCATCCTCGCGCGCCCCTCGCGTTTCTCTCGCGCACAGAATCCCCTTTACTTCCCCCGTTCGAGCGCCTGCCACGCAGGCTACTAAAGGCCTGGAAAAGGCCAAAAGTTTGAAAGCGAGGGTTTGATCCTTAGACCATCGGTTTATAATTGTTAAGTTGATACGCATTGTGCTGTAAGTTTTCAACCCTGCTAAGAGGCCTTTTCTCCGGGTTCTCTAGTTTTCACCCTTCCACAAACACTAACGATTCCAAATTCCAAACCCATCAGGGAAGTGTTACATGAAGGAGCCACATTGAGGAAGTGCCCGGCCACTAAATCAAATCGCCCTATGTTCGAGGCGATAATGAAATTGTCAACTTGTCCTCGTTTTTTTGACCATTTGTATAACTCAAGCGATCGTGCAGCGTGATGGCAAGCGCACGCGACGCTGAAAATTGATCTTTACTCTGTCTGATCTGACGGATTTCAGTCCTTTATTCAAGCAATAAACTAAGGTATTCTTGCAGTTACCTGGTACTGCCGATCCTGGAATACCCTCTCTGTTGTATTTATGTTTTCTTCTTGCTGTTAAAGAAGAAAAAAGTGCCATAAGTAGGTGAAATATGATCACCAGTGAGCGACTGCTGATGACTGTGACTGAGGTTTCGACAAGCTACGCGGAAGGCATTATCATAGTCAAAGTAAGGAGGTGTTTACATGAGAAAACTTGTACCTGGGCGAGTTAAATACTAGAATGACTAATTGATTTCGTATCGTGTTTACATTGTTCACACGCTTTCCCTCATCGTGTCGACGCCATCTTTGACTGACGAAAAGCGCCACCCGTCACAATCCACGGGGAGGCCGATTTAATACCGAAACAAGTGGTTGTTCTTCGTTTACATGACACTGCAGGGAGATTTCACACCGGAATGAAATTCTCGCTCCGGTGCAAAAACTGTCGTGAGCTCGCACCAGGATGACTCATTCCGATATGAAAGTCCAAACAAAAACAACCAACAGACACTAAAACACAAAAAGGAAACAAAAACGAGACGCAAAGTTTGATCTTACCGTTTCTTTCATCTGTATCTGGTTTATTTTAATTCGACAAAGCTTGTGTTTGAACTCGGAGTTGAAGAAGAAAATATCGCCATCATCAACATCCCGGCCCTAGAAGAAGGCAAACAACACGGTGTTGTTGGACTCTCTCCAACCATCAGGGGCTATGAAAAATGGTTTCCACTGAATAAAGACGAAATGTACCAATTTGTCTCAAATAAAGTTGAATTAATCACATTGAAGTCGTCTTTTTCCTTTTCTGGTTTTTTCTCCTACACAAATCTTAAGTGGAAGCCCGAAAAAGGCGTCAGAAACAGATCACCGGCTCCAACAGGAATTTCAAGCTAATTTCTCCTTGAAGGCTCGAGGCAAAGGCAGAGATAACGAGAATTATTCGCAGATGCTCATTCTTGGAACAGACAATGTCACAAAAGTAGCTTCACAAAAATGCTGTGAGGACTAGTAAGAATAATTCATGTCATCTTGAATATGTACCTTGGGTTTTTTGAGAAGAACTCGTGCTTTACCACAAGCAAGTGATTGTAGTGTTCTTCTTAGCTCCCCATCCTCTGCAAGACACACAAAAGGGCCGAATTACTTCTAGACTTCTACGTGGTAAGATGATAGATCGTTAAATGTCATTTCAGGCATTGGCAATGATTTTGATGCTGCGCGTGACACTGCTCGAATAGCACTATGGGACTGTTTTGGGAGACGAAGTTTGACCCAGTTTCCTTTGCGACTCCAAACAATCCCATGGTGCAATTGGAGACAACACCAAGATTCTAATGAACGGAGAGATTGACAGCTTTTACTTCAAGTAATAGACTTTGTCAACAAATGTGAAGCCACTTTTTTCTACAGAGCGACTAAGGATTTTCACATGCACGCACCGTCTGCCTAAGGTTTGTTACTCAGATGACTATTTCGAGTTACCGACGTAAAATAAGGACTCTTTACCTTTACCTATAAGAATTCACTAGGAAAACTCACCTATTCCTGTAGCTTGTTTTATTTCATCGAACCCAAATCTTTCTCTTTCGTTAAACATTAACAAGACCAAGGTTTGAAACAATGAAACTTGAAGTTCCTTTTTTTCCTAAAATATAAAACAGGTAATGGTTTTATCAACTGTGTTAGAGACAGGTAAGGAGTTTTCCTATGAAACTTAGAAAAAGGGGAAAACTACAAAAATAATATATTTCTGAAATGCTGTGTTGCAAACCAAAGTCAATTTTCGTGAGAAACTAAATTGCAAGCAATAACGGTAATAATCTCGAGGGGGCATGTCATGGTCTTCATTGTCACTGGTCACAACACAAACATTCCTGAAACATTTAAGGTTTTCTGATTTTGACAGTAAAAATTATTAGAAGTGCGTCATTGAAATTGGGATGCCTTCTGGTGAAAATGATTAAGGTGCAGTTGACTCCCTATAAATGAAGACTTCCATAACAGGACTGTTAGTACGATTTTTAGGTTGCTAGGTGTAATATATCTCTTGATCACAGCATACTCACATCTGCTGTGGGACCAAAGTCAGCTTTGACTACACAATGCCCTAAAGTGTTCTGCCACTGCAGTTTTCTGCCTCCATGTTTTCCAATGTAAAATTTCTTGAATGATTCTTGGTACTGAACCATCTGGGAGTAAAGAAAAGGACAGTTGGCTAGGAATTGGGGTCGTTTCGCCCGAAAGTCGATTCGACAATCCAGTCGTTGCGGACGGGTTCAACGACAGGAAACCAGTCGTTTCGATACAAGTTGTTTCGATACGAACTAAAGCAGTGAAATTGGACAAAATTTTCGATCACTTTAAGTAAAGTTTGCAATTGAAAAAGGAAAACGTTTTGGGCGAATAATTGTTCTTTGTTATTTAAGCCAAGTGCGTGAAACTATATTACAACTCCAAGAAATTAACTTGTATCGAAATGACTTGTTTTGAAATGACTTTGTATCGAAATGACCAGTAACCGAACAACAAGTAGCAGCAGCATGTAAACGTGAAACTTCAGATTGACAACTCACTTCGTGTGTACTTGAAAAACTCTTTGTCTCCCCAGCAAGTTGCAAAGTTGCATAATAATCAATAACAATTTATTGTTTTGTGCGGCTTGTCGCAACAACAAAATTATATCACAGAATGCTGGAAAGATCTTCAAAGAATTCCTCCAGTACACACAAAGCGATTGTGGCCACAACTTGCCACCAAGTGTGTGGTGAACTTTAACCTTCAGGCCCAAGTCGTTCAAAAGGTGGATAGCATTACCCACCGGATAAATCTCTATCCAGGGGATAGTGCAATTGTCTCTCTAATATACTTATCCACAGGATAGAGATTTATCTGATGGAGATCGCTGTCCAGCTTTTGAACAACTGGGGCGAGGTCAACAGGAAAAACCAGAGAATTTGAACATTACCACAATAACCAAGTACAAATGCATTCAAAATGAAAGCAAACAGTTACTAAAAATCTAGATGATGAGCCAATACCTCAACAGGTAGATGAACTTCAACTGGAGTGTAAGTTGGCCAGTAGCCCATGGTCAAAATGCTCACCACCATGTCTACACTGCCTGGAAGATCTTGGTGCTGGAGAAACTGTGGGAATATCAAACCAAAGTCAGCTCTAAATTTGCCCTTCAGGCAAGCAATAGGTAGCATATACTAGCCCCCAAAATTTTGATAAGCAGGATTGATAACAGTTCTTCTATAATTTGAATTCCCCAAAAACCTTCACTTGCCAGTTGGGTAAGTTATTAAAAGAATTCACTAGCCTTATCGCAAAATCCCGGGCTACTGCACATGAGTTTTTTTGTACGCTGCAAACAGAATTTTAACTATTTTTCAGCCTTTAAAACTTAAAACAGGCCCGTGTTAAAACTGTAGTTTATCCTTTAAAACTCACTGTAATTATTTCAACTTCAAAAATAAGTGGCAACATCAGTAAGTGCCCACAATTTAATTTTTTATTCACACACAATAGTAGAGAGATTAAGCATCGCGTTAAAGGCAAACGTGAGATTCAAGTTGAGAAGAAATGAAGCAGATAAAAACAGCTAGAAAAAATTCTTACGGATAGAATTGGCGTAAATCTACCGATCTTTTATAATGAACAATAAACGACAATTAAAGGGAAAACTTGGTTACGTGGTACAAATTCAAGTTTGCCGTTTGCCTTAAACGCGCTGCTTAATCTCTCTAATCTCTCTTATACCTGTTTAAAGTGCACTAGTACGTCCTTGGAAAGTTCCATGTCTTTAAACATCCCTTCAAGTTTGCTAGTAAATGCTGCTCCACACTCTTGCTTTAACTTGGATAGCATTGATTTCTCTGCATCAACTGAGGCACTCTTTCCAACTAACAGTCTCTTAGCCAGGTCCTTCTTGTAAAATGCCTCAAACACATCCTTGCCTAGAAAAAAACACAAGGTATTTTATTGTCCCTACAACACAACACACTCTTTAAAGGACAAAACAACAATATTATTTGCTCCATAAGATAAGTAATGGTAATCTTTAATCCTTTTTCTTCGCAATGTGTCGAGAAAATATCCATACTTCTTCAACCAAGGGATTTTTTCAAAGACCACCCCCTCCCAAACGTTCTCTGGAAATTCCAATTAAACACCATACATTTCCTTTAATTCTATAGACCTTGAGACACCTTCCTTCTCCAGGAACAGGGACCTAACGAAACTACGGAGGCAACAGCAACGGAAACGTCTAAAACACAATAGCTTTTTTGAGCAACAACTCAGCACGTGCCTCACGCTTTTTCGTACATTTCTTTGCCGTCCCTGCACAACTACGACGTGAAATAACCAAATTTTTAGAACGGGAACGGCAAGGCGATAAATAATTCTACCATCTCCCCCTGAACTCAGACGCGGTCCCCTCTCTTCAGGCGGGGCAGCTATCATGAGCATAACTTCTGGTGACTTTAACCCACTTCGCCCCTGAGCCGCCCGTAACCGCCCGTGCGGATCCACTTACTTTTACCGCTTGTGACGTCATCAGTTATGGTCAGGGACCACTTTTGTCTGCTAACTTGTGCAAAGTGAAGAGATCTTTCAAACCATACCAGAATCTCGAACTTTTGCTTTCTGCGCATACCCGAAATTCGAGAGCTGATATGTTACGTCTGGATCAGAAGGCCGCGAGGTGTACGACCTCTAAATAATGGCTTTATGTAGCCTATGAAAACAGCCGAAACGGCTCCAGCGGCGAAGAGCGAGGAGAAACGGCTCTTTTCGCAGGCTAGGCTTTCTGGTAAGTTTAAGCCCTTTATAGCACGACAGTGACCAGAAAACCGCTCGACTAGCTTCAAAACGCGTTTTTCAGCAACACTTCAAGGGGCGAATGGGTTAATTGGAATCAAAAGGAAAATAGATTGCATAATATACCCAGTAACTTGAAATCTTAGTGACAGCCCTGTATTTTGCAAAATGATACGCACCATGTATAAATCTAAAGAGTACCATTATCCTGTCCAAGAGTTTTTCAAGTTCCTCCTCTGTGGCTTCCTAACAACAGCAAAAGAAAAATGTTTTCGTCACACATGATGCAATGTACAAGGACACTGCTAAAAAACAAACTTTACTACAGCACCTAAATTAAATGACCACCATGATGGGGTTTGTTGCCCTGACATTGGTCATGGTGTAGACGTTTGACCTCAAGCCAACATTGCATAAATCGAGAATATTCCATAAACATGCGGGGATACACAATTTTTCTTCAGTCATTCAAAAGTATTATTTCCATGAGTGATAAAATTACAGTGAACTAATGAAATATATTTATTTTCTGCTCAAGAAGAGGAATTTTGTGTCTCTAAGTGGCATGTGATGTTTTTTTTTTATTATATAAACACCAATGAAATAATACCGAGCAATTTCACTATATTATATTAATTTTCTTGCAGTAAAAGGTGTGATTTATTATGTAGCCATAGCAACAGTGATCTTTTCACGTGTGAAAAAAACATGTTATTTTCACGTGAGAAGATATCACTTGAATGTTTTCGTGGGAAAGTTCACCTTGTATTTCATTGGTACTAATTCATTTCAAATAAAGTTAACTAACTCACGCAAATAAAAGGCGAAATGTTATGTACTTTTCAGGCCACTACAAATCTTGTAGTCAAGTGCCTAGTAACTTACAATCAGAATCAAGACTGACTGTACAAGTTGTAGGTGATAATTAAAATGCTGAAGAGTAAAACTAAAAACTTATTTCTTCAGGGTTTCAGTGAATCTTGGAACCACTGAACAGCATTAAAGGTTGATAAGTATACCTCTGCGAATACAAGTCTAGGAGTATCTGAAGAATTAGTCAGAGAATGTCCTGTTTAGTTTACCTTGTTCCCAGCTCTTAGCTTTGAATCAACAAATTTTGCTGGAAGTTGAAAAATAAAAAATAAATTAATTAACAAATCATCATCATCATCATCTTCAACCAGATCAAAAATTTTTATAAGTTCTCCACTCTGATTGGACTATGCAATAGCCTAAGTCACACACCAGCGTGCAAAGGAAGTAGTGTCCATGCAATAGCCTGTGGCTAGTGGATTTTGCTATTGGACTAGTGAATTCTGTTATTAACTTGCCCGAAGTGCAAGTGAAGTTGTTTGAGGAATTTAAATTAAAGAAGAACTGTGAAATCAATCTGCTCATCAACACGTTTTTGGGGCTAGTTGAAATGATGTTTGGGTTGGTAAATGTTAGCTTCAACTTGCCCGAATGGCACGCTATAAATATGACTTTCTTTGCACCCTGCACACATTGTGCAGTCTCTATTGTGTTTGATAAACACTGCAGGCCATTTTCAGTGAAGTACATATGTAATGTACTGAAAATTTTCCCTCTGGTTAACTAACGTTAAACCTTTCATGAGCAACCACCTAAAACAATGAATTTAGTGGTCTTCTGAGAGCATGGGTCTCTTGTGGGAACAGGTCAGACACATCTACTTATATTTTGACACTTGGAATTACTACATCCAGTTAATGAGTTACAATACATGGCGCACCTTGTTGTCACTAACAGTTTCTCTCTCAGTAACAAGGCACATAGCAAGCGCAGCCGGGATCACACCATGTGTCAATTGGTCACTTACAGGATGTTAACATCCTGTAAGTGAATTAACACACAAAACAAAACATAGAAAATAATAAAACCATCCCTAATTTAATAATCACTTAGATCAGGAGAAGTGGTTATACACAAGAGGCTCCAACGACAAGTCTGGGAACATTAATTTTGGTGTTTTGATAAGTGGTTGCTTATCCCTTTAAGGATCAAAATCTACATATAAATTCTCCAAACTGATGTTCATTCATTTCCTTAAAGAATGTGTTGAGAGAATTTTATAAACAATCATGGCATTTTCTCTTTGGTAACCACTTCATTACTTCTCATAAACTAATCTCTTGACAATGTATGGACATCATTAGGAGAAAATTGATTTTGGTTGCTCTCAGGACTTAAAGGGTTATAGGAGAAGGTCCTCTACAAGGGATAACCACACAGTTCAACAATGTTTTACAATGTTTGTAATATAAGGCAAAGGAAACATTTCAAGATGGTACCTATTAGTTCAGCTGGCTTGTTTGGTCTTTTGTTGATAAATGCTTCAAAAGCATCCTAAAAAGAAAAATATTACAGTAGTTAAAAAAAAATGTAGTGACACTATAGAGCATCATATATGTGACATCTTTCTGTGTAATTTCAGGGCTCAAAATAATGGCCAGTCAGTGGACAATGTCCAGCCAAGATGACCATTTGTCCGGACAAAATTTTGGATTGCCAGTCATTTTTACTGCACACAAAGTCATAATGAAACAAACAGAAAAAATACATTTTCTGTGCTAAAATTTCTTTGGCCGGCCAACACAACAGGCAACAGTCCCAAATTTATTCTGAGCCCTGAATTTACATATGCAGTGATTGTTTGCACACTATAAGACAGTATGGTAGCAATGCCTGCAAAAATTGTCTGGCTAATCATTAAATACTTAATGATTAGTTCTCTGGAATCCCTTGAATCTAAATGTGGAGCCAAGGAAAACAGAGATTGTCGGCCAGAGACAAAATTTACTAGTTTCTTAAAGGACCAGTCAATGAGTCCACAAAAACAAACAAACAAACAAACTAAAAATTATGTGTACAAAATATTTATGAGTAAATCTCAGCAAGGAGGCAACGTCAAATTTTGTGAGTAACAGCAGAATTTTACCTTCTGATGCTGCCACTTTCACAATGTTACCTGCTCAAAAACTGTTGACAAGAACAGTTTTTATGACAGACATCATTTGTCCTCAACGTGACAAATAAGGGCTCATACCGCCAGCTAAATAAGGTAATAACCTACAATTTCTTTGTCAACATGATTGGACTATACACAAATGTACATGTACATACAGCGTGTGGTAAAAGACTGTTCTTACCTTCATTGAATTAACAAATTTTTCACTTCGCATGAAAGCATCTTCTATGATGCTGTCCAGCTGCTCTTTAAAGTCCAACAGATCCTGTACCATACTTTTGTCTTTTTCAGGATCCAACACTATGCTTGCACCTTGTTTCTGATGCAGGAAAAAAGAATAATACTCAATGTTTATATGCTTAAATGACATAATTACATGTAGTTAATGACTCAGCAGAACCTTTCCTTCACTTGCAAAATTTTGGTGTAATTGAGACAAAAACTCTGCAGGAATTGTGTCAGATCTTTGTTGAGCATGCGCTGCTTGTTGCTAGGATACAGTTCGAACCCAGGCCTAATAGCCATGTGCTTGGTACAGCAGGCTCAGTTACGACCATCAGTTTATAAATAATGGATGCTCGCTCTTAATATTTCCAGTTTGATGAGAGAAAACAAGATTGAGTATTCCAGAAGTTTGAACTGCGGTGACTTCTAAGGCTTGAAAGCATTCATACAGAGCCTCCTTGTCTTCGCCTTGATCAAGAAGAAGTCAAAAGGAGGTTCTGCAGTGCTCTTAGGGCGTTAACCCTTTAACCCTAAGATCAAAATTTGAATTCTCATTTGTTGCCCCTATTCATTTCCTACAGACGTAGTGGGGCAAAGAAGTTGATAAAATATCCAGCAAATTCATCTTGTGTGATCATGTCCATAATTCTCATCACCACTCTGTTTTACAAAGCATTGATATTACAACAAGAAATTTGATGCTGATCACTCTTAGGGCTTAAAAGGTAAAGGATGCAATCTGGTATTTATTTACTAAATGAAAGTACAACAGAAGTATAATGCAATAAAAACACCCATCTACTGTATCTATAGCTGCCTTAACACATGAACAGGTTGGTAGATGTTAATCTTGCTACACAGTTCATTACAAAAAAAAATAAAATGTTTACAAACAAAGTTAACCAACATTTCAGTCTAAATGAGATAATTACCCTGATGTATTCATTGAAAGCAGTGCAAAGCTCATCTTGTCCTTTCTTGACTCTGCTGAAAAGCTGGTAAAGTAGGGCTAAGTCGCTTAATCTATAACTCGACATCAAGCTATCAAAACCTGCAAGAAGTAAACAAGAAAAATTATTGATTTTCCCTTTGAATACGCACAGGAAAAAAATTATCATAATTGTTTAAAAAATAATATTTTCTGTGCGGACAGACATCTCAGCAGAGATTTTTAACAAACTGTACATCAGGGTTGTCACTAAGCGGTTATTTAGCACTACACCACAACACTGTTTAAGAGTTTTAAGTTTAGATGTGACATTAAAAAAGATCCATCAACAACAATGTAAATTTGCACACCAAATAAAATGTGTGTCACTGAGACATTCAGTGTATTGCAGGCTGTCAGGGAAAACCAGATGTTTCGAGGGTGCTTCGGATTCTCCAGTGGTTATTGAGTTGCTTTACATGCAAAACCATGGAAGAAAAGGGAGCACCCTTGAAATGTTTGCTTTTCCTTAAAACCATTTTTTTGTGTGTATTTCAAAAAAAACTTTGTCTTTCACATGATTATTTGTATTGCACAGTTTCTTGTAAATTAAGGGTCATACAGTGATATCATAAGGGAACAAGGCAGAAAAGGGAGAGAGATTGATATAGATAGAGAGGGTAATGCAAGACAAACAGTGATGGATTGACCTGTGTACAAACAGACCTTTCTGAAGAATGCTGCATAAGTGTTGCCCTAACAGCTGTTTTTCAACACAAGGAACAAGAAATTTCCTGTCAAAAAAGAAAAGCCATGCAAAATAAACCTATACATATACTGCAGATATATTATTGATCAGCTACACTAACTCTTTAGTGAGATATGACAATCTAGGTCACATGTAGTAGGGAATGGGCATATTGTGTAGTTCCAGAAAATATCAATAACCCCCAAGGAGGACACTTTGCTTTAGATCCCCACACCCCTGGAATTTCCATTCAAAGGGGTGCTTATCAGATACCCCCTCATCCCCTGGAATTTCTGTAATTTTCAAACCTGGTTAGACACCCCCCAGCAAGCATAGTTACATCAAAAATGCTGTTGCACTGTTGCCAATCGGCAACTGCACTTTCCGGAATTTGTTGAGCTCCTTGGGGCTAAGAACAAGGACCTTGGGTTTGCTTTGCAGAAGTTACTAGCCAGGGTGACAGTAAATCTACAAGAGAGGATAAAAAGACGTCCTGGAGAAGGGGGTTGTTAAAAATGTAGGCGGGATTATTATAAACATTGAACCGTCCGGGGAAGAAAGAAGGTTTACCTTGTTGATTGATCTAAATAGTGAAGCAACCTGTCATTTTCTTCTTTCAATCTTCTGTCCACATGTGCAAGATATTTTGGTACCTAGAGAATATTTTGCAAGGTTAACGAGTTTTTGCAAATGCGAAATGAACAGAAAAAACTAACACTTTCTGTTCTTTTAAATTTGGAGCAACAAAAGAGACCTGCATAAATGAAAATAATCAAGATGGGGGCTATGAAAACTAAGGCCAAGACCAAACATCGTTGGGTCAGATGTTGAACTTGGGCTGCATTGAACCAATCAACTAAATCAGATCAGTAATAAAAACAAACAAACTTTTCATTTATTAGTATAGTTCATCGCATGTGAAGAATGATGCTAATTCTGAAGACGATCTCCAGTTCAGATGGCTAGAACGTGTTGGATGATCCAAACTCATTCAGTTGAACTTAACTCAGCCAGATGTCAAACTCTCAATAAGTTTGGTGTGTCTCATGAAAAGTTTGACGTTTGGCCTAGGCCTAATAAGTAACAAGTAGGGACTGTAGTCACATTGTTTCAAAGGAAACTGTATAATAACCTTAATGATGTTTACACATTATAATTTATGTTCTCTGTGTGCCTAAAAACCTAGGGTTTGGCTGCTTTCAAAAATCCTCTTTTTCTTGTACTTTAAGTTGGATTGTAAAATAATCATTTTATTACAGTCAGTCAAAAGAAGGTCAAGTGTACCCTCACAGATTGTATTAATGAACTGATTATTTGGAAGAAAATAATTAATCACTTATAGTCGGTGCTCAGATATCAGAATCATTTCTGTTTGAGTAACAGACAGTTCAAATACGAGGTGATAAGAATTCCTGCAGTTTACCCTTTTAATTCATTAATGCCCTTAAATGTATAGAAAATTTAGCCATTCAAAAGTTTGGAAGTTTGTCAGATCAAATTGATCAAATAATGAAAGGTGTAACCTGAAATTCACTGCATACTATGCATGCAAGAATAAAGACAAGTAACAGTAACAACAGATTCAACTTTCAAATTAAGGAGCTTAAGCAACGATGATGGCAACATCAATGAGAATGGGCAAAAAACAATAGGTTTAAAGTGGCAAAACAACAACTCTCGTGTGCATCATCTGTTTTTGTACATTTCCTTGCCATCACTGCACGACTACGACATGAAAATGGCTAATTTCACATTTTTGTGGAGGACATGCACACCAGACAACGACTTTCTTTTACTTTTGCTGAACTTCCATAAATTCAACTGTGATAAAGTCTGAAGCAGCAAGACCTTCACTTTCTAAGATTAATAATTAGCTAATTACTGACGATTGTGGGATATCACCATGCTTGATCTGATAATACTTAAAACTCACATCAGTTTCCTGCATGTATCTGTTTCCCTCTTCATGATAAAGAGCTTCCGTAGCTTTTAAGAACTTTGTTTCAAAAGCATCTTCATACATCTACAAAAAAAAAACTACACCGTTAGGACAAAAAAGTATGAAAATTTTACTAATTTTAATTTGGCAGGTTATCCTTAAAAAGTACCACTCAAATGTAAGTTGACAGTCTCGACTTGACCCTTGAGACATGATTTTACGTCTCAGGGCATGAATGAATTGGGTTTTGAGACATGAAAATCGAGTCTTGGGTTTTGAGTTTCACTTTCTAAGTTTCCAGAAACCAGGATTTTTCAAATATTCATCACTCAAAAGGAATTACAGAAAATCTAATTATTATTTTTTAGAGGAAAAGAACAATAACCATTTTTTTTCCTCCGACTTGCCTATGTCACACTGACTGAAAAAACAACTTACACATGTATCCACCAGCCTAAAAAAGACACCATCACAATTCTATCATTATGCATAAGCACATATCAACATCCCAGTCCTAGCAGTGCTCAAATGTTTGTCAGTCATGAACCTAGTTTAGTGACCTTAGCTCTCACAAGTCCCCTGTGGCTCAGTGGTAGAGCATCTGGCCTGGAAACCAGAAGGTTATGGGTTTGACTCCTGTTGGGAACACTCAGGTTTCTTTCTGATGAGCTGTCTGGGTGACAGACTGAAAAAAACATCTTTCTCAATAACCATTAGTTTGCATGTACACATGTAACTGGCACCCACCTGTAAGTCAGCCAGCATTCTAAGCAAACTCTTGAGTAACGTTCTGTCCACAGCCTCTCCATGTCTTGAGCAAAAACAAAAAGGTTAGCACTGACAGAGAACAGATTCCAGCATTTGAGAACTTACAGTCAAACCGGGACAACGGTGAACACCAGCCAAAAGCCAATATTGAAAAAACCAAATGGAATGTTGTTGTTTGTGGTTTTGCAGCCAGAAAATAGCCAATCGATGGGATGGTTTGTCTGTGAATGAGAACTAAACCATCAATTTCCTATTACCCATTAATTTAAGTTATGTTTGTGGTTTTTTTGCCATTTCACATGTGACCAGTCGATGGGATGGTTTGTCTCCAAGTGAATAAATGTTACCATGCAGTTCATGATTGTTGATATCACCATTTCTCATTACCCATTAATTTATTTGCCTGTTCAATGGAGACATTCAATAATTTAGCTATACACTGTATTTATCCAAGGGTCCCGTTCGTATGGACACCTAGACTTCATAAACAACATCTTCACAGCATTTGATCTTGTATAATTGCCCCTGTCTGTCCTCTGGTCTGTATTTGTCCCTGACCTTTGTTAGCCGTTGTTATACCCTACACAATTCTCCTTGAGCTCACCTCTCATTTTCAATCAGTTGCAATAACCCATCCACTGTTCTGCTCTGAACTGTTGGATTACTCATGATGTGTTTACGAAACAAGTTGAGACTCATGTCCCTGTATTGACAGAAAAAGAGAAAAGAAAAAAACTCTTCATTATAGAGCTTGAAAACAAATAATGATGTAGTCATGATGCAACAAAAATTAAATGAAATTGGCTTATGTTGTAAAGTATGATAAAAGAGACAACAGCTGTCTTACCAGAGGGATAAAATGGAAGAGTTTTGAAGAACATACGTTCTATCAAGGTACAAAAAAATGCTTCTGATCATAATCTGCAAGACAGAATAAAAAATTATTTAAGCGCACCATCTAATGAGATGGCTAATTTAATCTTGATAATGTAAGTTTGACAAATATTCATAGAAGCTGTCATTACAATAACATCAATGGTTTTGATCTGGAAATGAGGCAATGAAATAAGGTTAGAATGTTTGCCTGTATACTCATCTGTAAGCAGCTATTAAAACAGTTACTGCACTGGTGCTTGCAGAAATAGCCCCAATACTGATTACACGGTCGTCATTGTCGCCACTTTGCTAAATCTGCCCAATTATCTGATTTAAAACCAGGGAGGGCTGGGTATGAGTCCGTTCATTATGGGATAAACAATACAAGACCCACATAGTCAGAAAGAGCACATTGAGGTAAGGAAAATTCTACGGTTTAGTGTTTATTGGGCCTAGATTGAACAGGATACAGGCATTCAAAAACTCCAAAATTTACTTAGAAATATAAAGTTGTCCGCATGGTGTGTCCAGCAATCCATTCATGTATATCTCTCTTATTGTTAAACACTGAATCATTGGATAATGCGATTTATTCTAGAGCTCTGATTGGCTTAGCCATCATGGTATGTGAGCCATTATGCCATCATCACCATCAAGTTTCATCGCACCAGTAGGTGCATAAGGCCTCCACGCTGTCTGACCAACACTTTCTGTCTTGTGCAACCGCTTTGGCTACTTCCCAGCTCTTCCACCCAGCTTTGTTTTGTTCTTTCTCGACTGTCCTTCTCCAAGTAGTTTTTGGTCATCCTCTTGCCCTCTGACCTTCAGGAGTCCATCCTAATGCTGTAAAACAGTCATTCTCACCCTCTCTCCTTCGTATGTGACCAAGCAGGTTTCACTTTCTTCATCACACTTCACAGCTTATGTAATTGATCTCAGCCAACTAAACCACTCTCTTGTTTGTCATTCTCTGCTGCCATCTAATCCACTGCATCCGCCTCAAGCACTGGCACTGGAAACTATTTAGCTTCTGTTCATCGTTCTTGCTGATCTTCCAAGTTTCACAGCCATAATAGTAGGACCGGCCAAACTTAAGTCTTGAATAGGAGTATCTTGGTTCTCCTTCCTATTCCTCTGGCTGCTTTTCAAACTCCTTGTCTACAATAGCTCCCAGGTATGTAAACTCCTCAATGTCATCCACTTCTTCGCCATCCACCACAATCTTCTCCCTGCTACTAGCACACTCAGTCCTTAGTGTCTCGCACTTTCTTGCATTAAGTTTGAGTCCTACTCTGGCTGCTTCCTCTGCCAATCTTCCAGTCTTTTCATCCAAGTCACTGAACTTAGATGACAGTAGTGCAATATCATCTGCAAAATCAAGGTCCTCCAGCAGTGATGTGAAATTCCACCTTATCCTTCTTCTCTTGTCTGCTGTTACCTTCCTCATGACCCAATCCAAGCACAGTAAGAATAGGAATCCCAACATAATGCACCCCCGTTTTACTCCAGACTTGATCACAAACCAGTCAGATGTCACATTCCCCTCCACAACTGCACACTCGAAGCCCGCGTATATGTCCGCTATCACTCTCACCATCTTGCATGGTATCCCATAAATTCTCATGATATTCCATAGGCTTTCTCTGTGTGCTGAGTCAAAGGCTTTTTCAAAGTCTACAAAGTGTGTATACAGACCCGCCCTCCACTCATTTGCCTGCTCTAAGATGTTTCTAAGTATAAATATCTGTTCAGTTGTACTTCTCTTGGGTCGAAACCCAGCCTGCTCCTTTCAAAGTTTCTTATCTATGCCTTTCTTGATCCGCCGCAACCACAACCTACAGAATATCTTACCACTGACAGGTAGTAAAGTCACTCCTCTCCAGTTGTTGCATTTGCGCAAATCATCTGTCTTGAATACCTTAACAACAAGGTCCTTTCTTCCACACTTTTGGCCTCCTCTCATTTCCCAAAGCCTGTTATAACAACTAGTCAGCCTACTTGCAGCGTCTTCCATGTCAGCTCTCAACAGTTCCGGACACACCTCATGTACTCTAGCCGCTTTCCCTGGCTTTGTCCTCTTCAATGCATCCTTGACCTCTTGTAATCACCATCTTCCTAGATCTATTTCCTCAATCTCTTCCAATTCTACTATATCATCCTCTTCCACAGGATTCTTTGGGTCATCTCTGATTAATATTTCACTAAAGTGCTCCACCCATCTCTGCAGTCTTTCTTTTGTTTCAGTCCTAAGTACCCCTTGTTTGTCTTTAACACCTATTCTTGTTTCCGCCTTTCTCCAGTTATCGTCTTAGTAATGCTGTATAGCTCCTTGCTCCTACCATTCTCAGTGGCCTTTTCTGCTGCTGCAGCCCTATTCTCCAACCAATTTCTCTTATCCTCCATAGCACTCCGTTTCACTTCGTTGTTCTTTGCATTATACTCTTCCCTCCACCTCTGTTTCAGTCGTCCTGATCTTGCACCCTCCAATTTAAATTTTGCCTCTTTCCTCTCCTTGACCTTTTCCCACATTTTGCTTCCTATCCATGGCCTACTTAGTTTCTTTGACCTCCCCAAGACTTTCTTCACTGCATCTCTGTATGTTGCCAAAATCATACCATGTTCTTCCTCCCGATCATCCATGTCTCCTAAAGCTTCAAACCTATTCCTCACCTCAGTGTTGTACCTCCTCCTATTATTCTCTTCACTTTGCAGTTTACTTATGTCAAACCTTTCCCTTACGTTCCTCCTCTCCTGAGCTCTTGCCAACTTTAGACATATCCTCGTTTTCACAAGGTAATGGTCACCGTATACGTCTGCTCCTCTCTTTACTCTGGTGTCTAAAAAAGATGTTCTCATGTTTCCATTCACTCAAACATGGTCAATCTGGTTTACTGTTATCCCATCTGGTGACCTCAAGGTCAGCTTACGGATGTCTTTATGAGGGAAGATTGTTCCAGTTATGATGAACCCATTTGCACTACAGAAGTCAAATAACCCTCTCCATTGTCATTGACAACACCAACGCCAAACTTCCCCATAAGCTCCTCTCTATTGGTATTGTTGTTGCCTACCTTAGCATTCAAATCTCCCATCACCACAATCATATCATTTCTTTTGCAGCTGGTTGTAGAATTCATCGTTTTACTCGGCCATCGCATCATTTTTCGGTGCATATGCTTGTACCACCAACATTTTTTAGTATTTTGAGTAGAATCGTGCTGTAATGACCCTTTTCCTAACTGGCATCCATTCCATCAAGGCTCCCTTTGCCCAGCACTCATCATGATGGCTACTCCTCCCTGTTGTACCTCATCATTTCCTACATACACCACCTTTTCTCCACTCTGCAGTGTTACTGATCCTGTCCCTTTCCACCTGGTCTCGCTTATCCCTAGCACTTCAATTCCATATTCTTTCATCGCCTTTGCTAATTGCCCTGCCTGTGTCGTCTCCACCATGGTCCTCACATTCCAGCAACCGATGATCGTCTGTCGCTTGGGGGTTACTATGGGGCCTATCGGCCTTTGGACTTCCCGCTGGCTTTGACCCAAGAGCGTCATTGCAGCCCTAGCAGCAACACCCCCACTCAGTGTTGTCTCATTATCAACACTTCTGGTTTCTGTAACAGTTAGTGTTTTTATGGAGCAGGGTTGTTAGCCCTAAGCCCAACCCCCAACCGGGAGGATGAGGGGGTCATTCTTTGTCTGGTCTCTACCCTTCGACCTTTTTGGCATGGCTGGCCCTTCCAGGAGTACAAGACTCATGCCAACATAGCTCTAGGGGTCATTGAGACACGCAAACTGCCCCATCAGGATAAGGTGGTGACCCCATTCAGTGCAACCAAAAGGTAACTGTGAACATCTGCTCAAAATTAAAAACAAACTGAAAATCGGTTGATTAATAAAGTCAAGAATTCTCAATATTTTGTGGCATCTTTGATTCATTCCACTGGTGCTTGTTGGATATGAGATGATTGTAGCCAGCTCATAACCAATCTGCACTCATGGAATATTGTTAAATAAATTTTCAAGTTTTTAAATTGCCGTATCTTCGATATTGGCCTGAATGACAATAAACTTGGGGTTTTTCCTAACCTCAGCACGCTCTTTCTGACTTTGTGGGTCTTGTGTTGTTTATTCCATAACAAACAGACTCATACTCAGCAGAGTGCAAAGAAACAAACAGACTCATAGCCCAAGCATCATTTCCTCGTTTTGGTTTCAAATTAGGCAATGTAAATTCCTCGTTTCTTTCGGGCAAGTTTTGTTGCATTGGAAGTTAGGGGCTCGGAATACTTTCTTTCGCTGCTCAGCCCCTCTTGGATGTTAGGCAAGAAAATTTTTGAATTGTTATTAAAGCTTAATATCGCAGCTGGATGTTACAAGCAAATTTTTATTGTTATAAAGCTATAACACAGGAATTTTGAATGCAGAAGCACATACCATGTCTCTGCAGTGATCTTCCCAACAGTGGTTCAGTTTTCCAAGGTATAATTCACTGTCCATGGCATCATTACTCAGAAGTTAAGATGAAAGAAGTTTCACTTAAACTGACTATTCTTATTCCAGTACAGTAAATTTGTACAAAGTGCAAAATGTATTATTCCACATCATAAAAGTGCTACATACCACATAAAAAAAACACACTGAACTGTGGAATGGACCAGATCGTTATAAATAAAAAATGTTGGTGACATTTTGAGTTGCCTTACATTATGTATGTCCTGACAGTTATCACGTGTTTATGTCATGAGACATTGTTGAACTCGGACTCTTCTATGGAACTTGACTAGAGACTTCTCGAGATTTGTCGGAACAGTTTTGTTTTGTTAAGAGCTTACAGTCTTGGAATAGAATTAACATTTTGGTCCTTCGGATACCGGATATTCACATTGGTGTAATAATTGGACTAATCAGAACGAGTATTGTGGAATTTGCACCGGACTCATTCGAAGTTGGAAACATTTGGCGGAAAGTCCATCCAGAACTGAAGCTGGAGGAATTATGGATGGAAAAATAGAAGAGTTAAAGAAGGAAAAAAGAACCCTCAAGACAAGTATTGCAAAGGTTCTGAACAAATTAGTGGTGGAATTATCGACGAAAACGCGAAACAAGGAAAATGTCACAGCAAAACTACAGGACATCGACAAGTGACGGGATGAATTGTTGGAGCTGTTGGACTCACTTCAAACCTTGTACGGAGAAAATAAGCATGCATCGCTGGCAGCTTCAACAACAGGTAAAATGAATCAGATAAAATGATAGCTTTTCTTATTACAAATCAAGGAAAGCGAAGGAAATAAGACAAGCCGGATAACAGCGCACATGGCAAAAATGGTCACGTGGTCGACGCAAAACAAACAGGTTCAAAGCAAGAAAGAATATATCGATTTTGAGCTATGGATCAAACAAAGATGAGGCCAATAAATGCATGGATAATCCAAGAAAGCCCTGAGAAAGATTTGATAATCCAAGAAAGCTAGAAAGATTTGCCAACATAGTGGAGAGGACTGTGGTTTCTTTAAAAGAAAATAAGAAGTTTGCTGACCTGGAAGGAGGAACATTGTATGCAACTGTGCTGGAAAAACTTCCTCAAGCTCTACTTAGCCAGTACTACCGATGGGTTAAAGAAAGGGAAGCATGGAGTCCCTTGAGGAGCTGCGACACTGGGTTGCTGAGGAAGCTGAGTACCAGGTACAAGCATCAGAAATTAAGTATGGTTTTTCCAGTGTTGGACGTGTACGAGGAAAGAGCTTGACTAAGTCTTATTTCGGGACCACAGAAGAGAAACGTGATCATCCCTGTAAAGTGTGCAACCAAAAACACCCAATTTGGAAATGTGATATGTTCAAGGGAATGGAACATAGAAAGAAGTGGGAGACGGCAAAGAAACTTGGACTGTGTTACCGTTGTTTGGGTAAAGGGCACCTTGGTGACTCATGTACTTGGAACAGAGAGTGTGGAATTGACGGATGCAAGGACAGACACCACCGGTTATTTCATGAGGAGAAAGTAGCTCCTGGGTCCATGGAGGGGAAGGCTGACACTCTGGTGACAGAGGAAAACAAGTCCAGTACAAGTGAAACAGTACAAGAACTTGTTCAGAGGAGTATTGCCTTGCATACTGTTCCAGTCATTCTGAAACATGGGGAGAGAAGCTTGCAAGTTAATTGTTTCTTAGACGAAGGCAGTGATACGTCGTATGTGAATGAGGATGTGGTAGAGGAATATTATTGGAGTAGGATGGTAGGAAGGAAAAAGTAATTATTAATGTTACTTATGGTCAGAAAGTCAATTAATTTTAATGTCAGCAACCATGAAGTTTGGTTTGGAGAGTCTGGATGGTCGGGTGGACACAGTCATTGTAGCGAAAACATCTAACAGCATCTGTGGTGGGATGAAAACCACCGACTGGCTGCAAATCAAAGACCAGTGGAAACATTTGAGGGACATTCCTTTTCCTAAGCTTGTAAAAAGGAGTAAAATTGACGTTCTTATTGGTTCAGATTATTACAACCTGCTGTTTCCTATGAAAGAGGTTCATGGAGGTGACAATGAACCTAGTGCCAGACTGTGTCCATTGGGGTAGACAGCAATTGGTACCATTGGTACGTATGAGGGACTAACACTGGTTACCTGAACACCAATCGCATACAGCAGTCAGAGTGTAGTGACGGAGATCTGAACTATCTGCTGAAACGCATGTCATGTGTATGAGGATGGTGATGTTACTGCTCGATTGATTATGTCGAAGTCTCGTCTGGCACCATTGAAAGCAGTGAGCATCCCCAATTAGAGCTTTTGGGTACATTAGTCGGATTACGATCAACAAGACAAGTTTGCTCTACACTCAAGATACCTACAAATGGAGTGATCTACTGGGTGGACAGTATGAATGTGGGGTACTGGATCGAAGGTCAGAGTGGAAAGTATAAACCGTTCCTATCCCATCGTGTTGGAGAAATTCATGAGTTCTCTGCTCCTAATCAGTAGCGCTATGTTCCTACAGATGTAAACCCTGCCAACCTTGGAACAAGAGGCCTGACAGAAGAAGAGTTAGCAAGCGCAGACTTATGGTGGAATGGGCCAGAATTTCAGAAGAAGTCAAGACAAGACTGGCCAGAGTGTAAGTTTGATAAGCCAATGTCGACAGAGAATCTTGAACTTAAAGGAACAAAACAAACAGGAACAGAGGATGCTACAAGTTACCAAATAATTGAAGAAGGTGAAGAAACGGCTAGTGTCAAAGAGGTGTGGCAATTGGACCCCTCAAGACACTCCAAATGGTATCAAGTCAAAACAAAAAGAGACCTGGAAATTGGGTTGTCTTTAGTTCGTGTGACAGCGTAGGTGCACTGATTTACAAACAATAACAATTATCATTAATGATATATGAAATAAATAGGAAACCAGTTGAGCAAAGAGAGAAGGATGAACTGACGCCATTGAAGCTTCAAAACACTGAGGAATTTATCATTCTGGAGGTTCAATCTAAAGTGTACTCAGCAGAGATAGAGCCATTGAGAAGGAACAAGGAAGTCCTAAGAGGAAGTACACTGGCACCATTTAATCCAGTATTAGTTAATGGCATCTTGAGGTCCAACACCAGACTACGGCATGCGGGCGATCTCCCATATAATGTAGTGTCCAACCATACTGCCTAAGAGGAATCACGTCACAGGACTGACCATGAATTAGAGGATCATTAACTGGGGCTTAACTATACAATTAATCATGTACGGGAGAAATACTTAGTGGTCCATGTTCATGAAAAAGTGAAAAGAGTCATGAGAGAATGTTTTGAGTGTGCAAGACGATTTCGATCAAAGCCAGCTCACCAGCAAATGGCACCATTACCGAAGACTAGACTGCAGCAATCCTCCAGACCTTTCGAGAGCTGTGCAGCAGACTTTGGAGGACCTTTCTTAACTAAACAAGGACGTGGAAGAGTGCAAGCTAAGTGCTACATGTGTTTGTTTCTATGTTTGAAGACTCATTGTTGCCACTTAAAGATGGCCTCGTTTTTGGACACTGATGCATTTCTTGACGCTTTTGTCAGAAGGACTGCACTGAGACGATGCCCGCAGCAAATGTTAAGTGATAATGGGACGAACTTTGTAAGCGCATTGAGGGAACTGTGAGACCTAGTCTCTGCTAAAGACCAAGACAAGATACAACGGATGACATCCAATAAAGGAGTGAGTTGGAAATGGAATCCACCTGCAGCGCTACATTTTGGTGGAGTCTTTGAATCTATGATCAAGTCAGCAAAGCAAGCTATTTTTGCCGTGCTAGGTGATGCAGAAGTTAATGATGAAAAGTTGGAGACAATCTTCATTGGGATAGAAAGTCTGCTGAATTGGAGACCTTTAACAGCTGTGAGTGATGACCCTAGTGACGAATGCGTCTTGACTCCATATCACTTTCTGATCAAGCACATAGGTGGTGATTTTGTACTGCAGAGCGTCAACACCGAGCCATTTAATCCCAAAAAGTGTTGGAGAAGACTACAAGAGCTCACAAGACATGTGGAACCAATGGATGAAAGAATACTTACCACAGATTGGATGAAGACAGAAATGGTACTTCCGTAATGACAATTTGCGGGTTGGAGATGTTGTCATTGTTATTGATCCCAGTACAGTGAGACGACAATGGAATGTTGGGCGTATCAAGCAGATGTACCCCGGCCCTGATGGCCTTGTGCGAGTGGTAGACGTATGGGTTAATGGCGAGACCCTTAAGTGACCAATAACTAGAATCTCTCCGCTGGAGATTCGCGACACTGAACTGTAATCAGATTAATGGGTAACAAGAATACTTCGGAGAACGATGATCTAGAGCTAAGGATGTATTTCAGTTAAAATGCATTCGAATTTCAGCTTCCCTGTAATGAGGGAGGGAAGAAATGTTAGTGACATTTCAAGTTGCCTTACATTATGTATGTCCTGACAGTTATCACGTGTTTATGTCTGACTCTTCTACCGAACTTGACTCAACACTTGTCGAGACAGTTTTTTTTTGTTAAGAGCTTACAGTCTTGGGATAGAATCAACAAAAAACTAAAGCAGAATCAAAATCCCCTTTAAAAGGAACCCTATGTAATTGTCATAGGAGAAGTTTTATTATACATGTACACTGTTCTTTAATTTAGTGGTCACACCATAGCCTGCGATCATGCCCTCTCCCAATTACCCCTACTGGTTTCTTACAGGAAGAGGGCATTTGTCACCACACATTGCTTTAACAAAGCCAGAATCTGGGGATGTGTTCCTTTGGGATGATCCAGACCTGGATCAGTGATCTGAGATCCTCCTCCCTCAACCTACCACCCCAGCTTCCCCTAACTCTTGACAAGATGCTTCTCCTTCAAATATAGTATTTATACTAGCTTAACAGAAAAATCTTGGTTTGTTTTCCACATGCAGGTCATGTATTTTCCTTTGTTGTCTCATAAACAAGGTGTACATGCAAATAATAGTGTTGGCATGTCAACAACATAATTTTAACGTACATATGTAGAAATAGTTGTTACATGGTCTGTATTTGGAAAACAAACAGACAAAGCTAGAGAAACTTTTATCATTCAATAAAACTTATTGTATCAGTAATGAATTCAAAAAGGATATCAAACAAACTGCTGAAGATTGGACTTGACGTGAGCTTCACACTCTGCTTTCAGCAAGTCATACAATGTGGCAGCCATTTTGTGCGAGCACATGTTTTCAACAGCCTTATAAAGTTCTTCAGAGCTGTAAATCACAAATTTCTTTTTATGGATTGCCTCGACTGCTTCTTTTAGTTTCTCCCATGTGGCCTCCTTAAAATTCTCTGGTAAATGTGGCTTCGCTAAATGAAAAAGAAGACCAATAACTGCAAATCAGTTCTAGATTCAACTCCCTCTGCAATAGGCACTTTTGGGGCCATCACTATGTGCCCTTTTTAAAGAGATGTCCATCTTACAGAGAATTGACAAAAAGGATAAAGAAAGGCAGGGCCCAACTCTAGGTGTCCATTTTAGCGAGGTGTCCATCTTATACAGGTGTCCGATAAGAGAGAGTTGACTCAAAGTTGTGGCTCTAAGACAGAAGTTGCTAAAGATTAACCTGCATACAATTTGCCACCATCGCAAACAAATTCATTTTAATGATGAAGGGACGTAAATTAAAGAAAAAAAACGATAGGAAGGGAAAACAAGAAAAGAAAAGGGCTGTAACATAACATCAAATAATGGCCTCTTGCAGGTAATAATCCCCTATAAGTATGTAGCAACTACACAAGAAATCTTATCTTGCTTAGACAAAGAAACTGAAGTAAAAGCTTCACTTGTCAGAAAAATAATGATTAAGTCGTGATTTAAAGAACATGGAGCATGGAGCTATGAAGCTGTTTTTGATATTCACCCCAGATCCCCCAATCCCCCCCCCACAACCACTTCCCCAATTGATGAGGTGTTATTTTTGCCTGACATTTTCGAAAACATTTTCCTGGGATTAAGCAGTTAGGAAATTATCATTTATTACTAGCACTAAAAAATAGCATTACTTTTGTTCTGTACAATGTATGGCTTTACGTACTATACCTTTAAAATAATTGGGCAGTCTCATTTGTCCCCTTCAGAAAAAAGGTCTCTCAATGCTCTTCACCAGAAAAACAATATTCACCACCCTTAAATGTGTATTGATGATGTAACTCTTCTCAAACTCATTAATAATTCATAAAGAAAATACAAAGAAAATTAATGTTTAATGAGTGTTTGGAAATCGGATGAAAAACTGCTCAGTAATTGCATCCTTAATTTCTCCTTCAAAAATGATTTTGTTTGAGAAGAAATATCAAACATTCGACACAGTGTTTCATCACCAGATGAAACACCTCGAAGTTCGTCAAAAATACTCCGCTGCGCGTCGTATTTTCAACTCTCTTCTCAGTGTTTCATCTGGTGATGAAACACTGCATCTCATGTTTGATATATTACTTCCAGACATCCATTTCAATTTTTTGTACAGTGTCTTTATCCTTCAAAAACAGACATTTTGGATGGCAATACCATTCAGAAAAACCCGGCTGAGTGTCATCAAAAAATCTCACACGCAACCCCTTAAGAAAATCTCATCAAGCGGGAGTTGGGGGGGGGGATAGGTAGGGGGGTTCCTATATCAGGGTGTTCATTAGGCATCAGGAATCGGAGAAATCTCTGTTTACTAAGCAGAATTCTCCCTCAAATGTTTGGTAGTCTATAACTATTTTTTATTCAGATGTGGAATCTCTTTCAAAATATTCTCATGTAATGTTACACCTTTCTTCTGCTAGTGGAATTCTTAATGAAAAACCCTGCTATATAATGGAATAGGCCTGAACAGTGAGCTAACTCTACTTTGTGTAAAACCTCATTGATCAATATTTTGTTGAAAATTTTAACATCTACGTAAAATTTGAGAATTGAATTCTGAAAAAGCCAGATTTTTACAACCGACATATCAAGAAATTGAAACAATTGATCAGCTATTCTTTTGTTTATTTTTTTTGTGGTGTATAAAACAAGCAACAAAAACATCAACCAACCGAAAGCCTGAAATATAAACTTGTACAATTGCAAGACTATTTTGAACAAAAGCTCTGTACCATGAAGACCATAGAACCGTCGTAACATGAACATTGGCACGTTCATGTAAGCCTAATATATTTTCGCCTATATGTAAGCTTGATAATCAGCAATCGACGCTATTTGGCTAGCATCACAACCCGTACGTATAAACTCTTTCAATTTCAATGTAAAGCTTGATGGTCCTTAATAGAAGATGGCAAACTTTACCATGATTGCAAGGTTAATCACTTTTACTAACGTAAATTTACCCACACGATTTTACAACAATCATAAATAGGATTTGCAACAGAGAATTTCTTGGAGTTATTAAAGCCGCAAAGCATTTGTTGTTGTCTTCTTTGGTGCATTGCTTACGAAGAATCGAAGTTATATATCTTCACAGGGCGAACGACCTCTTATGCATGTATAACAGTTTGACAGGAAGTAAACAATTTCACTAATTTCATCAATTTCTCGTGATCATCACTACGCTGACTAACAAAACAGCTAAAAACTCCCACCTTTGAAGTTCTTTATCACCAGCTTTTTGGCCTGGCCTGGTTTAGCAGAGTTGTTGGCTAGTGGAGAGCGCTCGTGGAAGTGATTTCCGTAAGCCGAGAAGTTCGCTTTTCTTTGCGGTTCAGCCATTGTGGAAGCCACGTTTTCAACTTCTCCCACGTTGAACAGTGTCTTCTGCTTCTTGTGGGGGTGAAAATTCAGTTCAGTTTGAAGTGGATCGCCTGTCACTGTAATGCACGTTCCGTTCCTACTCAGTCGTCGTTTTTTCCTCGGTCCGCCGTTATCCGCCACGTTTGTGTCTTTCTCGAGCACGCCTGACCCCTGAGGAAGGTCAGCATCCTTCGTTGTTGGCAGCATTCATTCCTTTTTGGGCCTATCGAGGCCCCAAAGCTTAGAAAAAGGCGAAATTATCAAAGAACCTTTCAAGAGCACTGCTCGAAAATATCGTCTCAAAGCTCATGGCTGGATGTGCAGTAGATGGGATCTGGGTCGGAAACCTCTATTTGGTGTTTGTCAGTGGCATTTTGGGTAGGCCACAGGTAAACCAAGCTTCACTCACGCCACAGGTCACCATGCAAAACAGCCCACATGTAAAACCAAAAGCCATTGTGGGTCTTGGTTAAACTGATCCTCCTTTTTAGACGTTCATGGTTGTTTAACATTAACCATTCGCAAAAAGTTTTTTAGAAAAATCCGGTTGGAAAATGAATGGAACGCGACTTTTCGGCTCGCACCGACTCAAGCGAAAAATTCGCGAAACAAATGGAATCTCTGAAAGGGTGGCCTTGTTTTCGATTTCCCCGCTGTAATGTCCTAAACGGAAATTGTCGTTCCATTGTATTAAAAGTATCTTTGATACAAGGGCTGTTTTCAGTTAATGGGACTACCGATTACCAAAAGGAATTTACCAGTCCTGAATTTCGTCTAACAATTGCCAAACTGCGCCGACTATTGCCTACGTAAAGGGTAATAAAGACGTCACAAATCTTAAGTATCAGTGAGGCTAATGAAATATTCCAAAGAAAACCACGCTCTCGGGGACGGGGGCGGGGAGAGGGAAGGCACTCCCATATGAAAGGGGCGGGGATGCTCGTCGTCTCGCTTCGGATTTTGCACTCACTTAGGGTTTTCTGGACAAAACGCCATTATATTTAGCGATATTTAAGGCCTCTTTTAGGGTTAAAACAACGTATGGGTACAGTATTCGTTGCTGTATTTTTTATTTGTCTGTGTTTTAAAATGAGCTTTTTTAGGGGTGCAAAAAAGGTTGGGCCACGCCCAGATTGGCCTCCTTTAGGGGTTTAATTCAAAATTTCCGACGAGTATCTCCGCCCCTTTCATATGAGAGTCCCCCCGGAACCACGCTTCACTCGCTACTAGTGGTGAATTAGTTTTTATTAGTCTATGAAGTTAATAAGATTAGATCCAAAGACCTTTAGCAATCATCAGTGCGTGGTTTCAAAGTAATATCATTTAAAAAAAATATTTCGAATTAGTTCTTCAAGCTCTGAGACTCTTCTCAACCCTTCGATCTGTCAAACAAAAATAGCTCTTCGGGCTCAGTCTCCACAGCTAAAAAGAACCAACAGGTCCTGGGGACGAAACTAAGACCGGAACCGGGAGACGGCGGAAATCGAGCCTATGTGATACAAGGCATTACACTTTTCTGTTGCCATGGTTTACGATACCACCAGAAAAAGCTTATTTACATGACTACAAGCAATTTATTCAACACCTTGTAAACCTGTAAACCACAACAGAATTTGAGTTTCAAAGTGTATGGAAAACACCAGAAGCAATTAGAAACCACAAATCCCAGGATCCATATTACAACTACAAAGAAGTTGAGTCATGCTTGAAAAACGCCATTGTGAAGCTCTATTTCGAGACACTGATCAGCCCTGGGCTAAAATTCTCTCTTTGTTTTAATAACTTCAAGCAGCGCTTGCTTCGAATGTTATGACGAAAGCAGCGATTTCTAAATAAGCAGAGTTCGCCAAGATATGTAAATTTCTTGATTGCCGCTTGCTGATTCAAGAGCTACCCTCGACTGCTTCGATCACGATGTGATAGTGTACCCTGATACTGACGTTTAAGGCTAATTATTTTTGAAACACTTATTTACCGGTTATATGTGCATTTATCCACTCAAACAAGTCTGGCCATATCTATTTGAACAGCGAGGAACAGCGTCTCATTTTACCGGTGACTGAAGGCTCGAACTGATAAGTGTTCAGTTTCTGAGGTTGTTAACGTTGTTCCGCGAAGAAGTCACGCCGACAAATATGGCATATATTTCGACCAGAATGCCGTTGTACCTTAAGAGTATTCTGCTTTCTTGTTTTCAAGCAATGGTGCTTTCTCCGGCGACTGGTAAGTGAATTTTCTCATTCTGAATGAATTTCAATATTGGACTGAGGCATTCACTCATTACTTTCATCCATGAAGTTCTAGTTAAACGACCGCTGTGATCTTTCTAATCCGGATCCGAGAAATGTTTGAATTCTAATATATAAACGGACCACATAACGTACTAATCCGGAATTCTGTACGTAATACTTTAATTTTGTAAAGACTATGGGGCCGTGTTCATTAACTCTCCATTTCTTTCAGTCATATGTGCACCACCATGAAAAGTTTTTACTGCACATGCTCCGGTGTATACACTACCAACCACTGTGAAACAAAGAATTTCTTCTGCGGTCAAAACAGTCAAAATAGAAAAGCATGTATGGGGTTGAAAATACAAAAATTGCGGTGCTTCTGTGAGTAGGCTTTTGTGACGAAAAGCTAGAAGACATGTGTTTGAGAATGCAAATGACTACGTTGTTTAGTCTGACGAACATTTAAGAGATTTTTACATTTTGCTGTAACGCTCATCGAAATCCGTCTCGTTGGACAGGTAAAACTCGACTGAGTGACTTTATTTTAACTTTTTGAATTAATATCTGTTAACCAAGCCTCAAAAACTAAAACTGAGTTTTTGCTTTTAAGAGACAATTTTGGGAACTAAATTGAAACTTAAGAAAAAGACATCAAAACCAGCAAAATGATATCTTTTCCAAACGTAGTCATTTAAACTGTTTTGTTAGCGACTTGAGACTAGATAATATCATATCATTGTCAAAATTGACACTATCATAATAAATTGACCAAAACCAATAAATTATTAACCATCAAAAATTAATTTGAGAGTTGGGACAAATGTGCCTAATGCAAGATAAGGTAAGGCTAAAGAAGACAAATCTGAGTTATTAGAAGTAAACGAAGTTTCAAACCCCAGGATAGCGGAGTGGGGAAACTTTTTAGCATTCTCACAAGCTTTCGATTCCATCGGGGAATCAGTCTTTTATAACACGCATTGAGTTGGACGTTTTGTGACGTGATTTATCGCAGGGAGCCTGTAACAGGCGTGCAATGTGAATTTTCGTATGATTGGTGCTTCAAGGCAAACGTCTACAGGTTGCAAAATATATAACATAAAGTCGTAAACATTTTTTTGAAAGCTTTTTCTTTGGGTATAAATTAGCGTATTTTAGGAAGGATGTAACTTGGTTCCAAGTCTTCTAAAATCTGGTGGAAGATCTAAGTCGTTGATTCATTTCTCCTTTTCGGGTTTTTTTTTTTTTTGCAACTTCTCTTAATCGTCCCATGTACCGGATTCCCTGATTCCGGAATCCGGGAGATTTTTAGACTACGAGTAGTCCCCATTTTTCCTCAGGGATACAGCGAGCGAAACGCGAGCGCGCGTGAAAATCACCCCACGCAAGAAAGGCGACACGCGGCTATTTTTCTCTCTCACCGCCGCGTCTCGCCTTTCTCGCGTGGGATAATTTTCACGAGCGCTCGCGTTTCCCTCGCTCTACTATCCCTGACGAAAAATGGGGACTACTCGTAGTCTAGGAGATTTTCGCTTGTGTGATCCGGAATACAGCTCAAGGAATCCGGAATTCCACTAACGATTGGATTCCGGAATCCAAGTTACACCGACCGAAAGAATCCGAAATCAAGTAATGGAATCCGGAATTAATCCGGAATCCATGGCGTAGAATCTAGAATCCCAGACTAACTTGGACTCCCTTACGTGCAGCGACGACCTTAAAATTTAGTACCATGAGGGATTATGAAAAAATCCTAGCCTCCAGTTACTTTTTTCAACAGCTGAGCAACTTGTTAGCTCTTGGGGCCCATGGAGTGCTTGTTCTAGCAAATGTAAGGGTGACCAGAAAAGAACCCGGCAGTGTATTAATCAAGCGCCTTCAGAAACGTGTGAGGTCGATTTGGAGCAAGTCAGAGAATGCAGTCAGCCATCATGGTCTGCTGGTTGTTTTTGTAAGTAACACTTGTCCGTTTACATTGGCGGATCCAGGGGAGGGGCCGGGAGGGGAGCTGACCGCCCCCCCCTTATTTTTAGACCAAACTCAGGCCCGAAGGGCAGAAAAAAAAACTGAGACCGCCCCCGTCCCCCATCCCCCCTTATCTGAAGGTTTGGGTCCGCCACTGGTTTATATCTGGTAGAGGTACAAAGTATTTAGGTCTCTGCTGTAAATCTTAAGCATAATAATAAGGACTATACGAAAAAATTCAATTGTAACCGGTTCCCATTGTAGCGTTAAAATGATTACCTCATGTGGCCAATCAGTTGAATAAACTTTTTGTAGATTAAAAACGTGACTTATAAGGAACTTTAATTACAATTTACAAACATTTCGGGGATTTTGTCAAGTGCATTTTTACGAGTTCGTTGCAAATTCAGCGTGAAAATAATTGTCTACCTACCAGTAAACATCGACAAGCCAAAGTTCGTCGCTTTCTTGGTATTTGTTGGTACGACTGCTTCACTTATCGCTCAAATTTCGCCTTCCGAAAATGTATCTAAACAAGACGCCATCTTGGCTGCGGTCGCAAAACAGTGAATAGCCAAGGATATGCCGAGTTACGTGGGCCAATCAAAACGCGCGAAAATTGCTAATCACTGATTTGGTGAATACTAAAGTCGAATACATGCCACAGAGCAAACACATACTTAAGCCACTTTTGCTTTCCTTTGGCGGGAAGTTTTTACTTGAAAGAGCTCTGCCTTAGAGTAGCTAGGGCTTCCGGTACTGTTTTAAGTTCTAGGGCCATTCCTAAAGTCATGTTTGGAAGAATTTCGTTACACTCATTGTCCTTCATTTATTCGTACTTAGCTGTGGCCATGACCATTGCCTTAGCGGTGATATGTGTAGCAATTCTACTGGCGGTCGTCCTCATCATCATTCTCTATCGCAGAAATAGAAAGGAAAAGGAGAGACTTGAACATAAAAACGAGTGAGTATACGCGACCGTCCTTTCACTCACTTATCAGAACGGGTAGGAGCCAATCAGGTCTTAATGGGCTCCTGGAAACGGAGAGACTTAACCCCCTACCGGTTATATCTGTTGCTAGTGCGCGTATCTGCTGTGAGGGAGGTCGCAGAGTAGTTTTTCAGGCCGGACCAACCGAGGGGCTCCTAAAAAGTTTGCAAGATCGTCCTCACGGATATAAAGAGAGCTGATGGGTTCAGTCATTGTCCATCCCCCTCTGTTTTCCTTGAATCTTCCTTCCTTCCTTCCTTCCTTCCTTACATATTGGTTCCGGCTATCACGTTTAATCGATGGCGGCGTTTATTGGTAATTTTGCTGCCATCTGCGGCGTTTAATCGAATAAATACGATAGGTTGTTGGTAACTATATTACCTTATTAGCGGGTGTTAACAGTATCCCTATTCAGACGCTACTGATTCAGACCGGAGGAGGCTTTTGGAGCACCCCCTCGCGAAAAAGTTGAATAACTTCAAAGCTATTTACGCTATGACCACTACTACTACTCAATAGCAACTCTTCCTAAAATTTATCAGGGCACATTTTCGAGCCGTCGTGACCGTAGGTCATCATTAACATTGCTATGGCAACCGAGCTTTGACAGCCAGATTTTTCAAAATTTGCTTATTCCTTTTAAAAAATGATTTATTTCTATTTTAACATATTAAATACAGTATTACACTAATTCAGCAATACTTTATCAAATTTAGTGATTGATTTGGGAAAAACGTTCAATTTTTAACAGTGTTTATTTCTCGCGGAATTTCAAAACTTGCTGATCTTTCTTTAATTCCTGACCATCTTTTTATACACAGATCAATTTTTTTATCACGATAACCTCGATTTATACGGGTTTCAAGGAAAATTAAATACATTCAACTAATTCAAGATGGCGGATTCAGGATGGCAGATGTCCAGATCCTTCTTTAATAATAAATGACGTCATGACATAGCAAACTTCTTAGTTTTTTCAGACACCTTACTATTTGAGTATTTTTCGCTTCAAGGGAAAAAACTGATGGAAGTTGGATTTTCCCAAAAAATTCAACAAATGACGTCATAATGACGTCAAATTGCGTCATTGTGCAAAACAACTTACGACTAGATGTTGGAAATGATAAGCACTTTCCTCTGTTTAATTCTGGTGGCTGTATCAGGAGCGGTCTTGAAGTTATAGAGGTTGGGTCCAGAAGCCCCCCCAAACGGTCGCAAGCCCGGTCTGTTACGTTAAGAAAGCTTTGATTGAATTTTAATATTACTTTCAAATTTTTCTATTAATCCTTTCTCCGCTCGCAGAGATATGTCGAATATTATAGAAAGAAGATACGACGACTCCGTCAGCATGAGTAGTTTAGCGCGTCATGTCCCTTCTGTTGGAAGTTTTCCAGAGCCGCTAAAGGAGCCCGAAATGATTGACTTAGACAATTTCGCCTTTGATCAGGAAAGTCTGAACGAGAGCATTCACGAAATGGCCTTCACTTTTGGCGCCGACGAGGAATACCAACCAAACGCGCAAAACAAGCAAGAAGACAGGAAAGATGGTGTCAGTACCGGAAATGCAACCTACGCAGTTGTCATGAAACCCAAAGCTAAAGCTAAAGAGGACATAGTGGATGTTACACTGTAGTTATTTTTCGACCCATGAAAAGGAATCCAAGCCAAACTTAGAAGTAAATTCCGGATTCTTTGTCCTTGGCTTGAATTCCGGATCCCAATCGTTAGTGGGATTCCTTTAGCTATGTTCCGGATTCCAACTCACCCAGGATTTCGGATTCCGCGAGCCAAAATTTTTGGAATTGGGGAATCCGGATTCCCTTCAATGGCGATATATTTTGATTAACTTCTTTAATACATTAGCTGATGATCATGGAGGTGCTGAATCTCAATTGTGGGGGGGGGCCTCCATGGCGCCCGTGACATTCCATCCAGCTGTATTATGAGGAAAATGCTACTTTTTGTTACTTATAGCGCGGGTATATATTTGCACACATTTTCACATAAAAAGAAAAAGGCATAGACATTTCTTGGGATTCTCCTTTGCAGCAAAACTGATTTTCTCGAAAATCGTGGCGACAGGCAGGAGCCAGGTTAAGCTTAGTTCAAGTGAAACAATTCGAATTCATTATTGTCTCTTCCTTCATACAGTAGTCGGTTGTCATCACAAGGCAGAAAACGTTGCAACATTTCTTTTAATGTTTGAATGCTGGGTATCCTGTGGAAAAGGGAGTTTAAACGCCTAAGCCGTTTTTTCCTTGTTTAAGTCAAAACCTTGCCAACCCTGAAACACTGCCTGTTTAAGAAACTGTAATATAATTTTATTTTTCATATGACAATAAGTGTAATCAATATAAATACCATAATCAGGTTATCACAACGATGTACTTAAAACCCTTGGTTAGTTAAGACAATCATGCATACATATTTAATTATACTAACTGTACTGAGAACCTGATTTATAGAGAGGATACCGTAATTCTTCGGATAATAGCCGTGGACGATTATTTCAAGCTTTGTTTGCACCGAGAAGACGCGATTAATGCCTAAATTTTGCTCGCCGGATGTTGGTCCCTTAACCTGTCCTTGGCGGATGGCACTGTACCTAGTACCGAGGGTCTTCTCGTTTTCCCCTATGACGCTTTTTGAAAACCGAGAGGCCCCTAAGCGAGCTCGCCGCCTGTCGATTCTTACTCTTGATTATCAGTGCAATTGACGTCAATTATTGACAATGTTATCGTCAATGTCATCGGCAAACATCTTCCAAATTTGGTCAACTCTCACTAAATAGGAAGAATAGACCTTTTTAGCTTGTATCTTTCCTTTTCCCAACTCACACCACGAGAATTTCTCCAGGGGATTTGCCTTTTGTCTTTTCATAAGGTGTACATACATATGCACGTAGATGCACGTGCACGGGACGACATTTGAAAAATAACAGTTCCCTGGAGTACCATCACGTTGTGTGAAATGGGAAAATGAAACATACAAGCTAAAAAGGCTTGTTGGCCGATGGATTAATCGGGGACGGAAAATTTTGGGAATGAATAACAAATTATTCTTTAGTAAAGAGTACATATAGGCTATTGAATGACGTTGAGTATAATATGAAGGTTCACGCAGATGTGCTGGCGAGATTGTCATGCGTGGGGTACTTTCTTGGCGGCGGAGCTGCGAGGGATTTTCACGAACGGCGATTTCAATTTGACTTGTTCCCAGTCTTCTCGTCACTCCCCCGCTAATCCCGCCAGTTACGCAAATAGTCATCAAAAAATGGAGGGCATCCATTGAGCAATATTTCTTGTGTATTCTTGCATTAACCAAACGGCTGTTTCGTCTTCGGATAGCCTGTGAACTCTTTCGCCATTTCCGTGAGTTCACTCACGCCAAAACAGCTAGGCTGCCGGGCCGCTCCCTAGAAACGAGGTTGCGATTGTATATTGGGGGAATATACCCTGAACTTATCGACAGAATGTTGCCCCCATCGTCAATTTGGTCAATGCTGACGATGACGGCCCCTGCATGAGTGATATGAATATACGCATGCGCAAGTTACTGACCAGGACAAATGAGAAAATGAGTTGGAGTAGTGGGTGCTCTTTGCTGAATTATGAGTTCATGAAAATCATTGGCGATCAATAAATTTTATCTTCAAAGTCCTATCTGGAACTGCCACAAATCTAAACATCATGGATGCAGGTTCTCCTTGGTATTCCAAAATGAATCGCTGAACGATCTGAAATTAAGGCCGCATAAAATACTTTTATTAGTAAACGATGGTTGACAATGATCATGGTTATGCTGGTATGGGACTCCATTTGGAAATTTATAATTAAGACCAATTTTCATTTCACGTCATTTTGTTTAAAATTATGACCGAAATAAATAACAATATTATTCAGGGAAGTGGAAGTGGCTGGTGGTGAGTGAAGCGGAGAGGTAAATATTCACCACTAGCCACCGACACTCATTTATCTCACTGTTTTATACTATACATTATATACTAAAACATATATATACTAAAACAGTGCGATAACTGAGCGCAAAAATGATGATTTTTAACTCATTTACTATTGCCATTTACAATTTTGGCGCGCAATGACCGAACGGCCGCGGTCGTCGATTTTTGTTGCCGAAAAACAAAACTTTTGAAGGCATTTGTTCAGCTCTTGCAGGGAAATTTTTTTAAAAAGGAGTTGTGATTTCTTTTTGTACTAAAAGCATTCTGTAAAAAAGATTATTAAATCCAGTGTTAAGCTTATTTATGAACAAGTCAACTACATAAACTAACGCAAGACTCAAGCTTAATTTGCATTTGTCAACAAAAAACTTTTTCCCTTGTTTCCATCGATAAATTTAAGTCAAAAAGACAAAGCTTTACCTGTTAAAACTTCCAAACCGAACTTCGTCTTCTTCTTCGTGTATCTCGGGAACAGCTTGCTTGATTATTCGTGAAATTTCTTTGATTGTTAAGGCAGCAAACCGGAAAGCCATTTCGCTCGTAACTTACGCGAGTTTAGCGTCGCTCGCTCGGAGGAACTGGAGGTGAATCAGTGAACAGCATTGGATATTCACTGACTGAGTAGCCAATCAAAGCGTGTGAAGAAAACTATCCACTGTTTCAGTATATACTAAAATTTGATGCTTCTTAATACTAACGGTAGCTTGCGTCGCAGGCATCACCTTACCCTGGTTAGTAACGTCTCCAAAGCAGCGCTGATATCCTTGTTCAGGATGCCCAACCGCGACTCAACGAATTACCGGAAATGCGTTTTAAATTTCCTTTCAACCTGATTGGCAAATCCACAGTGGTGTTTTTAACAGCCCAGTCATGGCGTGTACTCAAATTCTGGTACACAGGTGGGGTCCCACAACAAGGATTTCGGTGCTGTTTCGCAGACGGGCTCAACTTAAGATTAGTTCCATCTGTGGTGCAGGTTACTTATTATTGAGCCCTTAATTTTTTATACAATGTACTAGTGTCCATTACCTTTGCGGCCAGCAGGTAAATTTCAGCTTCAGCAATACGGCGGCCTGGAATGCAATAAATATCATTTAGTCTCGGATGTAGAGTCACAAAAAAGCCAAACACGGTAAATCAAAACGTTTCCCTGATTATAAGAGAATCGTGCCACGTAAGGAAATCGAGCACAATCTTGGATTATGAGGGCCTGCTTCTTCGGGCCTGCTCGGTATTAAATAATGAACTCACCGATACACATACGAGGACCGACTCCAAACGGAAGACTAGCAAAAGGATGAATTTTCCCAAGGTCTTCATTCAGCCAACGTTCAGGTCTGTATTCCAAGGGAAACTTGAACAACTCTTCGGACCGTCCAGAAAGGTAATTGCTATATACAATCACAGTCTGTGCAGAAGAGAACAGAGGTTTAGATGACAAAAGAAGACATTTAGGGTGAAATGTGGTGCTTATGTTGTTTGTTTGTTTCTTTTTCTTGTATTTTTTTGTAAGAAAATGATTCGGTCACGACCCCGCCAGCAAGCAGATAATAGATAGTTTAAGCTTCACGTATACGGCGAACGGCAAACGTCAGATTCAAGCCAAGAATCTCTCACAATAGAAAATGAGCACATAAAAACAGCAGAAAACTATTCTTAGGGATAAAAAATTGCGTAAAACTACTAATTTTGGTGTAGAAATAATGAACAGTAGACGACAAGTCAAGAGGAAACTTGGTCACGTGGTACAAATTCGCGTTTGCCGTTAGACGTAAACGTGATGCTTAACCTCTCTAATGTGCCCCGCAACAGGAAACCGGTTGGGTCCCTCGAGAAAACCTGTCCCGGGTAGCCTACGTGTAGCCGCACCCTCCCCCCGACGAAGGACGTTTTTCCTTCGTCGGGGGGAGGGTGCGGCTACACGTAAGCTAGTCCCGGGTAGAAGGATCACCCTCCCAACCGAGTCAACTTTAACGGGCGTTTGTATGAGCAAGCAGCGCTCGCGCATGCTCAGATTGTCTCACCTTGGCCGAGTTGACCCGGTTGGGCGAGGTAAAGTGTTTACCTGGAGAAAAGATGGCCCGGCTAGGCGCCTCTAGCTGAGCCAACTTCTTATTTCGCCTTTAAACGATTCGCCACATTTTGTAAGGAAATGTATAAAAAGTTGGGTCACCCAGTGTAGCTCGGGTAGGCGGTGTGACCCTTCTCACCCGGACAACTCTTCTCCATAGAAACGCGGGCCTTAACTGATTCAAGCGTCTTTATAGCCAATTCTGATTTCGTATCACTAGCGAAAGCCCTAATATAAGTCCTTCGTCATCTATCATAATATTTTGAATTTCGTTGTTTCAAGAAAGAAAAGCCTTTAACACAACCACAGAGGTAATGACTCACATAAAGGATTTTCCTGTGCGGCATCTCGCTGGATATCAAAGATGCCGAAATAGTGAATTTCAGCTACTATATAAAACACAACTGAAAAAGAAACTGCGGACCCTCTCAATTAACGAAGAGCAGAAACGGAGTGTCAAACAAAGAATCTTGAGCTCGTAGAATCACAACATGCGAGCAGAGCTTCCTTTTGTCTTCTTGTTGGTCGAGAGGAAGAAGAGGAGGCTCTACCTGAATCGCATCACGCCTTTGAAGCCGCCACAGCCTTAGGACAGCTTGCTACTGCGTCTCTGGAATTTGAATATCTGCATCGAAAAAGTCGATGCGAAATGCTGATTGGCGGAGATGACATTAGTAATGATGTCATTACTTTTGGCACGTGTTTTTCAATGTTTGTTTACATTCGCGCTCATTTCCGCTTCGCGCTGATTGGCGGAAATCTGACAGTACAGTCGACGGGGAGCCGCAGGGGAAATGGAGGTGGAATTCAAATTCCAGAGACGTAGTTGCAAGCTCTCCCTCCTTTTTCCGCCCCGCCACCAGAGCACCCCGGACACCTTGCTCGCAAGCTACCGCAGCCTGAACTTCTGGACTATAGTCAACCTTGTTTTCTCTCGTCAAACTGGTTTTTCGAGTGCGAGCATCCGTTTATTGATAAGCCGATGATCATAACTGAGCCCATTGTAACAAACACACGGCTATTGAGACTGGGTTCGAAACTTTAACCTAGCGCAACCTCAACAAAGTTTTTCTTCGATTCATGCAGAGTCTTTCTCGCTAAGCCAAAGAAAGGCTGACTGCTGGCAGGGTGGTAGAATCAAGATTTTGAATGAAAGACAAATCTCTCAAAAAGTTCGGTCCACGAACTTATCTCACATTTCGATGTACACCAGGAGCCGATTACTCTGTGTACACCTAATTGCAATTCTTTGTTTGCAATCACTTGACAAGGTGGCCATGTTGGGGGTCAATACAACAGAATTTTTCTCGAAGAATTTACATCCACTATCCACTAGGCCACTGAGGAATTGTTGGATGGAGTGGAAATAATTAAAGTACACATAGCATCAACCCCAACCCAACAAAAGAACCTAACCAGTTACGAAACAGTGTTTAACCCTAATCAGTAAAGGAAGTGCTTAACCCTAATCAGTAAAGGCAGCGCTTAACCTTAATCAGTAAAGGCAGTGTTCAACCCTAATCAGTAAAGGCAGTGCTTAACCCTAATCAGTAAAGGCAGTGCTTAACCCTAATCAGTAAAGGCAGTGCTTAACCCTAGTCTGTAAAACGCAGTGCTTTACCGGCTAATCCAAAACGATAAGGAATACTACGTTGTGTAAACTTCACAAGGTATCCAGAGGCCTTTCGACGGATGTTAAAAAGTGCTGACCGTCTCAGAAAAAGGAAAAAGAGGAAAATGCCAAATAGGAATTAATTAGGCTAATTAAGCCACATTCTCAGGGTCGAATTATTTGCAGCCGTTGCATTTCGCCGCTGGAATATTTTTACTGTTTTTCTGCTTTAAAACAATAGCAAATTGCGACGTCCCTGTACACATGCTGCAAATGAACTATTACACTTATTAGCCTAATTAATTCCTATTTGCATTTTGGCTTTTTCCTTTTTTCATTTTTCTAAGACAACGTTTTTGCAACAGCCCACGTTCGATGTATTAAAATTCTAACATGACTCCGAGGCTTTCTGGTCATTTTTTCACATTTGGTTTGGTTTTGTTTGTGCTCAAGTCTCTTCTGGGATTTGCGAGATAATGGAGTTGTGAAAAATTTGCATTTTTGTCCCTAAAGCCTCGGAGTCATGTTAGAATTTAATATATCGAACGTGGGCTATTGGATGTATGTTCAGGTGTCACTTAAAAATATTTGTCTCGGGAATATTATTGCCCAGAAATTCTAACCTTCGCATCGCATGAAGAGAAGAGAGAGGGAGAGAGGGAGAGAGAGAGAGAGAGAAAAAAATGAAAAATTGCAAAATGGGGAGGAACAAAGAAAGAATACTTACATTTGATGGAACGTTATAGCCAGAGAGAGCTATGTCTTGGTTCAATACACGGGTCCAACGACTGGCAATAGGGTGGAGTCTAGGGTCAAAGGTGAAACACGTTTTGAAAGTTTCATTATAAAGGTGAAAAGGTTTTACGGATGATTTTACGCACGAAGATTTTATCCGCCTATGGCCGAAGCTTAGAGGGGTTATGTCACAAGGATATTGCTGTTTTAGGTCAATTCTGCGCAGAAATCATTATTTAGTATCTTTACCCATACACAAAATGCTCCTCCTGTAGAGCTACTAAGGAGGTATCATGGAGCACTAACCATAACAATTTGGGGGGGGCGGGGGTGATCTTGGCAGGCATCGTAGCATTAAAAACATGACCCATAAAAACCTTGAATAAGAAGAAAGATATTTTAAATTCCGAATTGATAATTTTGGCTACAAAAAAATGCACTTTATTTGAGTGT